TAAATTTTAAGGGCACGTAGGTGGCTCAGTTAAGTGTCCAGTTCTTGATTTCGACTCAGATCGTGATTTCACTGTTTGTGGGATCAAGCTCCACATCAGGCTCTATGATGACAGCAAGGAGCCTGCTTGGGATTCTCTCTCTCCATCTCTCTCTGCCCCTTCCCTGCTTGTGCTTTTCTCTTTCGCTCTCAAAATAAATAAATATGCCTAAAAAAATAAATAGAATACATTTTAAAAGAGAGTAGGTGTTTAAAGGAATATGTCAAACAATAGCAGTAGAGCCATTGTGTATAATTATGCAGAGTATTCATACACAGGTGCCCTGCCTCAGGGAGGGATATATTGGCAACCTGGGGCTGATAAATAGCCTAGGAGCTACTTACCAAACCATGTCCCCTGCCACAGGACTGTGCCCACTGGGAGGACTGGGTGCCTTTTTCTAATTCTCACAAAGACACCAGGGGGGCCAGCAGTAAGTGGTGGTACACCGCTATGCAGTATGACAAAAATACTGAAAGTGGCATGTAAATGGGAATCCCACAAGACAGGTGTTTGTATTCTCCTTTGCTGCCTGAGATGAAGGCTCAGAATCTTTTTCTGTGCCCATTTTTCATATTCCTCTCTGATAGCTCAGGGACACCACACTGATGTATGGTAAATGGAGCAGACCAGGGGCAATGGAAGCCTCATTCACAACAGGAGAAAATCTATACGGAATATGTAAATAATGTTTAATAAAAATTGTATATAATCTGTGACTTTTATGGAGAAAATTTAATTGAAGGACATAGAAGACATACATGAAAAGACATACCATGTCCATGGATGATGAGATTCATTATTATAAAGCTGTTGACTCTCCAGTCCATAGATTTAGTGCATTTCTAATAAAAATCCCAAGAGGATTTTTCATGGAATTGATTAACTAATTTTAATTTATGTGATACTGCAAAAAATTAGGAATAGCCAGACAATTTTAGAGAACAAGGAGGGAGACCTTTTTGAGCCATCAAGGCTTATTAGGAAGCTATAGTCAGGAGAAATAATGTGGTCTAGCCCAGCTCTGTCCAGTATAGTAGCCACTAGCCATATGTGGCAATGAAGCACTTGAATGCGGCTAGTATGAATTGAAAAGTGAATGTAAAGTACACACCAAATTTCAAAGATTTAGTAGGGGTGATAAAGACTGTAAGATGTGTCATTAATAGTTTTAAAATATTTTTTTAAATGTTTTATTTATTTCTAGGAGAGAGAGAGAGACAGCGTGAGCAGGGGAGGGTCAGAGAGAGAGGGAGTCACAGACTGAAACAGGCTGCAGGCTCTGAGCTGGCAGTCAGCACAGAGCCCGACGCAGGGCCCGAACCCACGAACCGTGAGATCATGACCTAAGCGAAAGTCGGACGCTTAACTGACTAAGCCACCCAGGCGCCCCAGTAGTTTAAAAATATTGATCACATGTTGAAAATATAATATTTTAGATATATTAGAATAAATATATTATTAAGATAAATTTTGCCCATTTTTTTATTTGAAAATTTTTAAATGTTTATTTTTGGGGGGGGGGAGCAGAGAGAGAGGGAGACACAGAATCCAAAACAGGCTCCAGGCTCAGAGCTGTCAGCACAGAGCCTGATGCAGAGCTTGAGCCCATGAACCGTGAGATCATGACCTGAGCCGAAGTTGGATGCTTAACTGACTGAGCCACCCAGGTGCCCCTTACCGATTTCTTTTTTAATGTGACTACTAGAAAATTTTATACATATGTATTTATGCATAGTGTGTATGTAATTACATTTCTCAAATGTTGGATGGCACTGGTCTAGACCGTTGAAATAGAGTAGAGCTCAGAAACAAGCTAAACATATATAGGAACTTGGAATATAGCAAAGGTAGCATTATTGGCCAGTGTGAAAGGGATAGACCATTCAAAAAAGAATGATGGGACAATTGGCTTAGGCTATGGACTGAATTTTTGTGCCTCTCCCCATTGATATGTTGAAGTCCTAATCCTTAATGTGATGATAATGTGATGGTGGGGCACTGAGATTCAGTTGGGGTTAGATTAGGTCCTGAGAGTGGGGCCCTCATGATGGAACCAACAGCCTTGTAAAAGGAGGAAAAGACAGGAGAACTCTCATCATGTAAGGACACAGCGAGGCAGTGGCAGCCTACAAACTAGGAAATGGGCCCTCATCAAGAACCAAATCTGCCAGCCTCCAGAATTATGAGAGGTAAATTTAAGCCACCAATCTTTGCTTTTTGTGATAGTAGCCCAAACAGCCCAAGATAGCTTACCATATAGGAAAGAAATTAGATGTCTAATTTATAGCGTAAATAAAGACAAAGATTCTTAGTAATTATAGTGACTATGGTCTTAGAGTTGAAAGGATATGCTTTCAGGTAGGCTTTGTTGCATAATAAACCAGCTCAAAACTTAGTGGCTTAAAACTGCTATTCATGGGGCGCCTGGGTGGCTTAGTCGGTTAAGCGTCCGACTTTCGCTTAGGTCATGATCTCGCGGTTCGTGGGTTCGGGCCCCGTGTCGGGCTCTGTGCTGACTGCCAGCTCAGAGCCTGGAGCCTGTTTCAGTCTGTGACTCCCTCTCTCTCTGACCCTCCCCTGCTAACGCTGTCTCTCTCTCCTGGAAATAAATAAAACATTAAAAAAAAAATTAAAAAAAAAACAAAACTGCTATTCATGGGCTGGCAGGGGGGTTCTTCTGCTAGTCTCACCTGGACTCACACGGCTGTGTTCAGCTGGTGGGTGGCTGGCTGTACACACTGGACCACATGGGGCTCTCTTCCCCCCATGGTCCTTCATCCCATGGGCTTTTTTTTTTTTTTTTGAGTTTTTAAAATGTTTTTATTTATTTTTGAGCGAGACGAAGCATGAGTGGGGGAGGGGCAGAGAAAGAGAGAGAGAAGGAGACACAGAATCTTAAGCAGCCTCCAGGCTCTCAGCTGTCAGCACAGAGTCCAACACGGGGCTCGAACCCACGAACTGTGAGAGCATGACCTGGGCCGAAGTTGGATACTTAACCAACTGAGCCACCAGGTACCCCTCACGGGCTTCTTCATAGCTTGATGGTCTCAGGATGCCAAGAGAATGGGTGTGGAATCTGCAGCCCCTTGAGGCTGATGCCCTGAAATCTACGAGCATCACTTCTCTCTACCGGTTGGCTAACGCAGTCACAGGGCTGGCTCAGATTCAAGGGCTGGGGAGGTAGACTCCATCTTCCCTGCCATACCTTCGGGGGAATGGCAAAGCCACTTTGCAGAAATGTACTCCAGATTTCCTAAGATCCACAAAACACTGACCATTAAGGCAAGGGTTGACAGGTTCAGGCACGTTAAAATCAAACATTTCTATTTTTGAAAACACCCATGAGGAGGCAGGTCACAGATTGGGAGAGGATATTCACAACACCTTTTAGTATCCAGATACATAAAGAACTATAAATGGTAAGATAAAGGCCAACAACCTGTGTAAAAAGTGGGCGCAAGATGTGATAAGGTAATTTATAGAACATAAGGAAATGATGTTCAATTTCTTTTTTTGTTTGTTTAAGTTTATTTATTTTGAGAGAGAGACCGCGTGAGCAGGGAAGGGGCAGAGAGGGAGGGAGAGAGAGAATCCCAAGCAGGCTCTGCACTGTCAGTGCAGAGCCCAACGTGGGGCTTGAGCCCATGAACTGCGAGGTCATGACCTGAACCGAAACCAAGAGCCAGACGCTCAACCGACTGAGCCCCTCAGGCACCCCGATGTTCAATTTTAGAGAAATGAAAATTAAAAACAGCAAAAAATACCATTTTATACTCCCAGACTGGCAGAAAGGAGATAATTGGATGATACTAACAAAGATTGGCTAGGTTGTGGTGTGAGGAAGGGGTGCACTCATTCTCTGTTCATGGAAGTAGAAAGCAGTCCAGTGTTGTCAGCCTCTGGTGGCAGTGCAGGTGGGCGTTCCCACATATGTGCTAACGGTATACCTGTAAGAGCGTGAGCGAGTTCGTTCCAGCATTGTTTGTAGTCCTGGAAACGTGGATGCATTGCGACTATAGGATATCAGATAAATAGATTATGCTGTGTTCCCTTAAAAGAACTATACGGCCGAAGTTTGCGAAAGAATGAGAGCTGTATGGATTGGCATGGCTAGGATTTTAAAACATGTTGATTGGAAAAGGTATGTTCCAGGACACTTGTAGTGTGAAGCCACATATGTAAATGTCGAAGTTCCTAAAAGAATATTTTATATTACATATGAATATACACGTATTAAAGGGATAGTAACATGAGTAAGAAAGAGGAGGAGGGAATTGGATCAGAGGGGTGCAGAGAGGGGATGACTCCAGTCTATTCTGATATACTTTATTTCTTTTTTTTTTTTTTTTTTTTTATATTTTTATTTATTTCTAGGAGAGAGAGAGAGACAGCGTGAGCAGGGGAGGGTCAGAGAGAGAGGGAGTCACAGACTGAAACAGGCTCCAGGCTCTGAGCTGGCAGTCAGCACAAAGCCCGATGCGGGGCTCGAACCCACGAACCGCGAGGTCATGACCCAAGCGAAAGTCGGACGCTTAACCGACTAAGCCACCCAGGCGCCCCTGATATACTTTATTTCTTAAAAGAAAACCTGAGGCAAATATGTAAAGCATTAGATCTGGTAATCTGGGATGGCAGATTTCTGTCGTTCCCGTATGCTTGAAGTATTTCATTAAAAATACATACATATATTTAACATGTCATAATTTTGGTCACATAGGATGTTCTAAAAGTAGCCATTTTTATTTTTTGCCATGATTTAGAGTTTAACAAGATTAGCCAGTAAAACAAGTCATTTTAGAATTGGTGGGTTATCTTTGATACTTCCTGATGGAGTGTTAAGTCTGTAGAGGAGAATAATATGTGTCAGAGAAGCTTTTTAGACAATTCCAGAACAGGACTTTTCTGTGTTATATAAATCTGAGTGTGGTCATTTACTGCTGTTTCTTTTCTTGTCCCAGGAGACCATCTCTGCCCCATCTGAAGTCCATATGGCTCTGTATGATGAAGATCTCCTGAAAAACCCTTTCTACCTGGCTCTTCAGAAGTGGCGTCCTGACTTATGCAACAAGGTGGCCCAAATCCATGGCATTGTAAGTGCCTCGACCCTTAGGGTTGTCCTCCTTCGTCAGGTGTGGACCAGGCAGTGCCAACGAGGCCAGACATACTGTCGACTTTGGTTAAGCGTAGAGGGAGTCAGTTATAAACTTGCTCAGTACAACAAGCCCCTGACCATGCTCGATATGTGAACAGAGAGGGACCACGAGGAGCTGCCTCCTCCAGGAAGCCTCCTGGAACTGCACCAGCCTCAAGTGTAATCCTTTCTCTGATGACGTTATTGACAGTCCCTGTTGACGCTGATCTCATGGTATTCACGTCTGTTTCTCTTGTTTCCATGTTAGCTTCTGGGGGCGGACATTGTATTTCCCTCAGTGCCTTAGGGTCCTTGTCTGCAAGGTGTGTACTCACTCACATGGGGCAAGGGAGCTTGTAAACGCATTCATATGTTGCTGTGCAAGGCACTCCCTAAAGGGGAGGACCTGGTGGAATAATGAGGCATCCAGACTGCAGGGGGAGGGGAGCACGTAAGAGAAACCCCAGTCGGTCGCTGGGGCACCTGCTGCCTGCAGGGAGGCCAGCCCCACAGCGCAGAACTTTCCAGTTCTCAGGTGGTGACAAGGACGACGGCAGCCTCCTGTGTCCACGGCCCTGCGCCACACAGAATGCTTGGTGCCTTCCCTTTCTTTGTGCTTCTCTGTGTGTGTTGCCCTCTTCTCAGCCTGGGTTCCCGCTTTGCGGCCAGGGTTTCTCTCTCTCTCTCTCTCTCTCTCTCTCTCACACACACACACACACACACACACACACACACACACTCACGCAACTGAAGACTATAGCTGTTTCCAAGAAGAGAATAAGAATCTTCTAAAATTCACCAGAGACATTATCTTCTGCTCCTTTCACGGCAGTTTTTAAATGCTACTCTGGGCAAGCCACCCTGTTTGATGCCGAGGGTTCGGCAGTAAGTAGGAATATATGGGAATGTGTATTGCCGTCTTTACCCTTATAGAGCTTACATTCTAGTGGGAGAGATGGCCATGCTCTGGGCAGATATATACCAATCACAGCTGTGGTTCATGTCACAGGGAAGAAATATGGGACGCAAAGCAGTCACGTTGCCTGGGAGGGCCTCCCCGAAACTGGGACCTATTTCCTCCCCACCTCTGTCCTATACTGCTTTTAAAAATGCTGTCTAGATACGAGTGTGCTCTGTGTAACTTTCTCTTGCTCTCTAAGAATCCCACACTGCAAGTAGCCTGTGGGGCCCGTCTGTTTTACTCGCCACTGTGCTGCCAGCACATAGCATGGGCCCTGTCCCCAGGAAGATGCTTTTCCAGCTGCAAGCGGTAGAATCCCACTGGAGCTCACTTCAGCAAAAGGGAGATTTTGAATAAGAACTTGGGCATCTTGGTCACCTTCCTTTTGGCTACCCCGAGGAACGGGAGGTTCTTCCTAAGCTGTGTCGTCCCGAGTTCCCAGTGGCCCCCGAGGTCCCTACTCCAGCCCCTCCTGGGATCTTCAGGGTCGACCAGGAGCTGTCCAGGGTCCCCATTTGGCAGCACTGACTTTCTGGCCTCTAGTAGATGGGAGAGAGTCAGTGAGGCCAACTTCCCTGCAGAAGTTACCGTGAGGAGCTAACTGCTGCCATCTGACTCTGCCCGGTCACATGTTGGTGGCCGGCTCCTGCCCCTGTTGGCTGCATAAGGTCTAACCCATAGCAGTGTTCCATCCATGTCTGCTGGTGGAATGCAAAAGGATATTCCAGTAGCCTCTGGAAGAGTTCTTCTCGTTTCTGCCACCACTCAGGGGTCCCTGTTGCCCCTGCAGGTGAAAGCTGAATTTCTTTCCATGGGGTCTGGCCATCGGGCCAAGTTTGGCTGCCCCTGAATCAGCCCTGGGGATCAGAGACTTTTATTGGGCTCTAAAATACTGCGATCATCACTTTTGAATGCATGTTCCCCCCGCCCAGGGTTACCTGCCCCTCACACTCCTTTCTAGATCACAGCTCGCTGGCCACCTCGTCCCCAGGTGACAGTGCATGTGGCGGCTGACAGTGCACCTGGCTGTCCCCCTCCCCTGCCCCATCCCTCCTTGAGTTTGATTCCTTTCAGGACCTTCCTGTGATTGGGATGCCTCTGCATCCAGGCAGGCCGCCTCCCGCCATCACCTGCTGTCTGCCTGGACAAAGGACGCTCTTGCTCCCCACGTTTCCCAGATTCCAGCCCCACAGGCCTGTGACACCCCCACACTGCCTCTATTTAATTAGCATCCAGATAATTATATACTGTGGCTTCTTCAGGTAGGCTGGGCAGGCCCGCCGCCTCCCTGGGACTCTTGTCCAGGAGGTGTCGGGACAGTCCTCCAGGATTCCCAGGGGGATTAGGGCTGGGCCCATCTGCCTACAGGAAGAACAGAAATTACAGAAGGAGATTAAATTTCTTCCTCTCCCTGCGGTCTTTTAATTATGGGGTATGTAGACTTTTGAAGGCTGGCCTGAGAACCTGTCATCATGTCCTCTGAGTTCCAAAGAGCTGGCTTTCAAGTAAAATACTTAGACGGGCCAGCTGAGGGCGCCGAGGTCCATATTCCCGTTCTCAGGACTCCTTCAGCATAGATCTACCCAACAAACATTTATTGAGCACCCACTACATGTCAGCACTGTGCTGGGTTTCCACAATCACACAGGTGAGGGGGAGCGCGCATGCCTTCAGGGAATTCTGGAAGCAGGCTGTTCGTAGCTCCGAGGAATGACAGTCAGGACAGAAGTCATCCTGGGTCCCCGTGGAGTGCCAGAGTGTCCTGGAGAGCAGTCGGGTGTACCCTGCAGCAGTGGCACTAATGCAGATTCTCACTTTTCTTCTACTGTCCTGTCTTTAATTACTGTTATTTTAAAATTTTTTATAAAGGGGCTAGAATAAAAAGCTTTATTGTTAATCTTTGAAAGAAGCAGGTCCCCAACTTATGGTCTACTTGGAGACTGTAAACTTTGTGGCCTCTGTGTAGGCTGTAATCTCCATGACATCTGCTCCAGTCTCAAGCGCTGTCTTGGGAGAGTCCCTGAGGCCCTTGCACTTGACCCCGCCTCCCGTGGGCAGCTTCACTGCTGCCCCATGTCTCTGCCTTCCAGGGGCTGGCTTCCTCGCCGCCCTCTCCGCCAGGCCTGCCTGCTGCCTTCTGCCTGTGATGAAATGCTCCAGGCAGCATCGTCTGCCTGAAAACTGGGGGCCTTGAGGCTAGAGGACCCCCTGCTCACTCAACAGACAGTGACCGAGAGCCTACTGTATTGTGGACAGTGAGCAGTAACAGGGATCAGTGCAGCAGGGGCCACTTGTGCTCAATTCAAGTTAGGGAGGCAGAGGAGGCACCTGTAAACAGGTAAATAGAATGGAATCACAGCTGGGGTGAGGTTCTCCGAGGCACCTCAGAAGGTCCTGGTCTCTCCCACGGGACCGTGTGACACCTTAATCCACAGAGAGGGCACAGGACCATCTCTAGGCCTCCCTGAGTTTGGACGTTAAACCCTCCCCAGGTCTGGTTCATGGTGTTCCCTTGCCTGTGCCAGCCCTCAGATCCCCAGGCTCTTTTTTCTATGCTCCCTGCGGCCATGACGGTGTCCCTCAATTCAGGCTTCTACCTGATGGCCTCCCTTTACTTTCTTTAAGTTTTTCTTCTATTAAAATTTAAAATTATTATGTTTTTCAAAAATATCTTTTATTAAGTAATCTCAGTGTCCAACATGGGGCTCAAACTTATGACCCCAAGGTTAAGAGTTACATGCTCTATAGGGGCGCCTGGGTGGCTCAGTCTGTTGAGCGTCTGACTTTGGCTCGGGTCATGATCTTGCAGTTAATGAGTTCGAGCCCCACATCGAGCTCTGTGCTGACAGCTCAGAGCCTGGAGCCTGCTTCAGATTCTGTGTCCCTTGTTCTCTGCCCCTCCCCTGCTCACACTGTGTCTCTCTCAAAAATAATCAACATTTAAAAAAAGTCACATGCTCTACCAATGAAGCTTAATATCAAACATATGATAAAAGAAGAAAGTAATGTCAAGAGCCTCATGCACCTGTCACCCAGCTTTCGGAGTGATAGGTTCGGTGGCTGGTCACATGTCATTTCTGCTCCCTCCTGCCTCCCACCCTCAGCTACTGGATTGTTTTGAAGCAGATCCCAGAAAAATATGTCAGGTCGTCATGTGGTTTCATCTGCAGATATTTAGGGATGTGTTTTTAAACGATAAGGACTCTTTTAAAAACTGTAACCGCAATGCCGTTATCACTGCTAAAAAATGTCCTCAATGGCTCCTCAGTGCTGTCAACTATCTAGTCAGATTTCCCAAACCATCTCATAATCGTTTGTCTGTCTGTTTTGCAGTGGGTTTGTTCAGATCAGAGTCCAGAGGAGATCCACAAGTTATATTGGATTGAGGAGTCTTTAAATCTGTCTTTTCTCCTCACTGCTGAGCTAAACTGCAGTACACAGAGCTGCACGCACTTCGTGTGTGAGATGCGGTCAGTTTTGACACTTGTGTAGCTTTCTGAAGCCATCACCACAGCCTTATGTGTCTTTTTAGTTTTGTCTTCCCCTGTCCTCATTTTCTTTTTCTTCCTTCTTCCCTTCCTCCCTCCCTCCCTTCCTCCCTCCCTCCCTTCCTTCCTCCCTCCCTTCCCTCCTTCTTTCCTTTTTTCCTTCTTTCTTTCCTTCCTTCCTTCCCTCCTTCTCTTCTCTCCTTTCTTTCTTTCCTTCTCTCTCTCTCTCTCTCTTTGCGATTCATTCATCCAGGTCATTCACCCTGTAGAGTTTCCTGCATTTTGACTTTTGCTAGTTGCAGTCATGTGGTGGTGTTGATGGCAATCCTCTCTTTCCTGTGTTTCCTGAAATGGGTAGTTAAATCTCAGTGTTGATCTGATTCATTCTTGATTTTTTTGAGGAGGGATGAGGCCTCTTCATCCACAGGGCTGTGTTCTCTCTCAACAAATACTTCCTTTTTCTGCTGTGAGGAGTTGGCGAATCCTCCCCACCCCCCGTGGGGGCTGAGGCTGTGCTGCTGTGATGAGTTGGCGTGTTCCCCCGACCCCCGTGGGGGGCGAGGCCGTGTTGCTCTTTCTACTCTGCCTGAGGAACCCCCTGATGACGGCCACTCTTGAAGGCTATAGAGTTTCAGGGTGTCTTCGCAGGGGCCACTTCCACCGGTCCTGGGCGGAGCTTCCAGCACTGGCTCTAGGAGGCGGCAGGAGTTTGAGTCATGGCTCTGCCACTCACTAGCTTTGTGACCCGGACAGGTTCCTTAGTTACCTTGAGCCTCAGTTTCCTTGTCTGTATGATGGGGATAGCGCAGAAGCCGTTTGCTTTGTGCTGGGTTGCTTTAGGAGATGGGGCTCTGAGGGACCAGGCCGTCATTTTCCTTCTGGGTACACTGGGGTTTGAGAGAGTCCCTGAGCCACTCAGACCCGATGTTGGTGCCCCATTGGCGTGGTGGCCACGGTCAGGCCAAAGTTCACATCTCACATTGAGCCTGCCCTGAAGACAGAGTCTGGCTCTCCAGGACGCGTTGGTGGAGGTGACAGTCGGTACAGGAAGCTGTGTTTCTGCAGCTCACACTACAAACTATGATCGATAAGGCTTAAAAAAAAAAAAAAAGAGAGAAAAGACAGGAAGGAAACCGTCTTCAAGGTGCATGGTTTCTCGTTCAGGCAGCCGCACTACGTGTGCCTTTTTAGTTTTGCTTTTCCAAACTACCTGTCTTCATCTGGAACCATCCCTGAGCCTGCTGAGAATAGAGTGGGGCACCCAGGGGGTGGGACGCAGGGCGCCCGTGACCGCCCGCCCCTGTGCCCAGGTGGGGAGCACAGGTTCGTCACCAGGACCTCCGTCACCCCGGTCCCCACAGCAGGATGCAGCCTGTCCTGCTGAAGCTGTGGGTGGCACGTCCCTTAGCGCTCACCCTCATGTTTTCCAGGTCCTGGTGCCCTGCAAGGGAAGCTTGTCAAGCAGTGTCCAGTCGACGTGTCAGTTCGAGTCCTATATTTTGATACCAGTGGAAGAACACTTTCAGACCTTGAATGGAAAGGTATTCATCTCTTCCTGGGTCAACCAGAGTTGCTCACTCGGTGTTTTGGGAGTGGGGGAGGGTAGGGAAGCCTGCCCGTCCTGTCCCGTCTGTGAGAAACGATGGCTCTGAGACACACACACACACACACACACACACACACACACACATACAGACACACGCACACACACACACACACACACGCAGCAGCAGCAGCAGCAGCAGCAGCAGCAGCAGCCGCAGCCCTGAGGGGTAGGAGGAGACACCAGTCATGAGCAGGGCCTGGCCAGACCTCTGCCTGGGATGGGAAGGGGTGGAGGGGGATGGGGCGCCTCCTGGATGGGGCAGGTGTGGCGGGGAGGGCTGGCATCTCTCCCTCAGCGTGTGGGCCTCCTGCTGATAAGTGCTCCTGAAAGATCATTGGTTTCCTGGCCACAGACTGGACATCAGGGATGAATTTTAAATCTTTAAAAAACAGCGTGTTTTAAATAATCTCAAACCCACAGAAAGTTTCAGTAAAGTACAAGGAGCGCCCCCCCCCCCAGCTAGCTTAGCTGTTAGCTGTTAGCATGTTGGCCACATTTGTTCTGTCAGACCCTCCCTCCCACCCCGCACACACCATTATTACTTTTTCTGAACCTTTTTCAGAAAAAGTAAGTGTGAGTTACAGACACCATGTCCCTTTATTCTAAAACCATGGATTTCCTGCACAGCCACAGCAGTGGTCGCGCTCCGGAAATCTAACAGTAGGATACTGCTCAATATGCCGTCCTCATAGAGCTGTGCTAATCATTCAAATAATTTTTCCCTTTTATAGAAAACATTTTTTTTTTCTTTTTAGATCCAGGATCATGCAATGCATTCAGTTTCAGTCTTTTTAGTTTTCTCCCATGTGGAACGGCCCTCAGGCTGCCTCTGTCTGTCGTGACATTGACAGTTGGGTTTTGCTCTGTAGGCTGTTCCTCAGCATGGGACTCTCAGACGTTTCCTCACGGAGGGCGGGGGGAGGGGGTATTTCATCTCTCGCGGCCTGTCGTGACAGGAGACACATGATGTCAGTCTGTCTTCTTGTTGATGTTAACTTTGGGGTCTGCATTTTCATTCCTTTATTTATTTTGAGAGAGAGAGAGAGAAATTGAAAGGCAGAGGGAGAGACAGGATCCCAAGCAGTTTCCATCCTGTCAGCGCAGAGCCCGACGTGGGGTTCGACCCCACAAACCATGAGACACGACCCGAGCCTAAATCAAGAGTCGGACGCTCAACCCACTGAGCCACCCAAATGCCCTGCATTTTCTTATTTTTTAGGTTGAGATAGAAGGTTCTGAGAGAGATGGGGCGCCTGGGTGGCTTAGTCGGTTAAGCGTCCGACTTTTGCTTGGGTCATGATCTCGCGGTTCGTGGGTTCGAGCCCCGCGTCGGGCTCTGTGCTGCCTGCCAGCTCAGAGCCTGGAGCCTGTTTCAATCTGTGACTCCCTCTCTCTCTGACCCTCCCCTGCTCATGCTGTCTCTGTCTCTCTCTCCTAGAAATAAATAAAACATTAAAAAAAAAAAAAAAAAAAGAAGGTTCTGAGAGAGGGAGGCCCTGTTCCTCGCCAGGCCGGGTGCGGGTCCAGGCACACCGGTGTTGTCCCGTGGCTGGGTCCCTCGGTCCCAACAGCCCTGTGGCGGGAAAGGAGGGACGACACACAGGGTTGCCGGGGCGCCAGCCCTGGGTCAGCCGCCCTGTTAGCCCTGCCAGTCACTGTCAGTTTGTTCTCTTCGGGGAACCCAAATCCCCATGGAGGACACAGGAGTCCGGCTTACGGCTTGTCTCCCCAGGCAACCCCGCCATGGCCAGAGCGGTGCATGTGGCCAGGATGGCAGCATGCGTGCCAGATCATTCTAGAAGAGCCTTCTTCCTTCCTCCTTTCCCAGAGGCACAGGTTTGCTTCCGCTCTGAGGAGCAGCGTAATGCTTCTCTGCCACAATATTTAAAAGGGATCAGGGTACCTTGTAGCTGCAGCTAAGGGGTGAACAAAGGAGAAAGAAAACATTTCGTATCAAAGAGCTAAGCAGAAGAGTGTTCGTGTGCTGTCCCCACTGCAAACCCACACTGGAGTGAAGGCGGGCAGGTCGGAAGAAGTGCCCTGTTGGGGGCCCGCTGAGAGCGGAAGGGTGGGCGCCATGGCTGTGGGTGCAGTGACGGCTCTCTTGTTCCAGGATGTCTTTATACAAGGAAACAGGATCAAATTAGGAACTGGATTCGCCTGTCTTCTCTCAGTGCCCATTCTCTTTGAAGAAACTTTCTACAATGAAAAAGAAGAAAGTTTCAGCATCCTGTGTATAGCCCATCCTTTGGAAAAGAGAGAGAGTTCAGGTATTCTGGGAAAACAAACCCTTGGGAAATTAGGTTTATTGAACTTCCTCCTGACATAGCTGTTATAAACATCCTATAAACTATTTAAGAGCCCACTTTTAACCTGCATAACTTTGCAATAATTCCCCCAGGACTTACTCAAAAAGTCATCCAGAGCCAAGACAATGTGGCTTGGGTCTGCGGTGTATGGTTGCACAGGTTAGACATTATACAACTCCAGGAGGCAGTATTGATGGAGACCTCTGTGTGAATGTTGCCCCCTGGAGTTGTGCAGAGTGGCAGTCCTGGCTTTGACTGGGCCTTAGCTAGCTAGCTCTTATACCACCATTGCCCATCCTGCCACCTCACTCTTGTGCCTCTCTGAGAGCTCATTATTTTTAATAAATAATAATTCTTCAGTCATTCCAGGAAATTGAGACAGCAGTGTGTCAGATGTACTGCGAGGCCTTTATTGTCAGGAGTCAGGGCTTCTTCACCAGAGCCTCATGGCTCATGCCCATGATCTCAAATTGTTTTGTCCAGGGAAAGGGTTTCCAGAGGACCAGGCTGTCTGGACCCTGAGCTGCTCTTGGGTAGTATCTTGAAATAACTCCTCTCCTCTGGGAGATGGGGCTCTAGACCCTGGGGAAGCAGGGCAAAGGAGGTGATGCTTCCCCCACCTTAAGAACCTGTGAAGGCTTCCGCCATTCTGACTCTCTGTCTCTTTTTCAGAAGAGTCTTCAACATCTTCAGACCCCTTTTCCCTGAAAACCATCGAAGATGTGAGAGAGTTTTTGGGAAGACACGCGGAGAGATTCGACAGGAGCATTGCCTCTTTCCAGCGAACCTTCCGGGAATGTGAAAGAAAGAGCCTGCGTCATCACATAGTCAGTAGCTGTGTCTTGCTTTGCCAGACATGCCCTGCCTCAGGCCAGTTCAAGAGCACGGGGACCCCTCTCCGTTCACTCCGAAACTGTGCTGCCTGCTGTCGGAAGTTTTGTTTAAATGTTCCTCTCTAACTTATAAAAGTAGAACAAGCCACCGGAGAAAATGTGAACATGACAAAATACAAAGATGAATGTTATTATCACCTATGTTGAGCCCAAAGGAAATTTTCTCCTGCCCTTCATGCATATACACCTAAAAAAAAAGAAAAGTTGAAAACAATCACATCATTTTATTTGATAAGCTTGTCTTAGGACTTAAATACAGGAAATACATCTTGTGAGATGTTCTCACTCTGGGACACATCACCCATCCTGGGTTCTGTGTCGTCGCCTCAGACTGTGAGAGTGACGGGTTTCTCTGTGTTTGTTGCACAGGACTCGGTGAACGCCCTCTACACCAAATGCCTCCAGCAGCTTCTGAGGGACTCTCAGCTGGTAAGCAGCAGGACTCTGAAAAGAGAGAACGGCGGTTTGCCCGCGCGCCGATGCAAGCTCTTTAACGGTGCTACCTTCTTGTCCCGCAGAAAATGCTTGCCAAGCAGGAGGCCCAGATGAACCTGCTGAAGCAGGCAGTGGAGGTAAGAGGCCGGGGCGGGGAGGGGAGAGAAGGCGGCGGCGCCGGTGGGGGGGGTCTCTCCTTGTCACCCCTGCACAACCCCCCACGGCGGTCTGTGCATTGGTTCCACAGATGTACGTCCAGCACGATATTTATGATCTGATCTTTAAATACGTGGGGACGATGGAGGCAAGCGAGGTAGGTTCTCAGTCACCATCATCCCTGTTGGAAGCTGCCTTCTGAACTTTTTCTAAGTGATTTGAAGCTTCCTTAAAATCTGTTGCTAGGATGCTGCCTTTAACAAAATCACAAGGAGCCTTCAGGATCTTCAGCAGAAGGATATTGGTGTGAAACCCGAGTGCAGGTAAGGGTTTGTGCCGCAGGGGCTTGGCATCCTTGGGGGGATGGGGCACTGCTTCTGGAAGCGGGCCTGTCCGCGGCAGGGACTGCACGCTGGTGTGACTTAGTTCACACCGAGGAACGGCGCGGGTGTCTGTGGCCAGAGATAAAGGGCTGAGGTTGGTGGATGCGTGTTTCGTAGCTGTCACCCTCCTGTACCTGTCGTGTCGGCTGGGTGGGAGCTCCGGGGCGGGATTTTGCACGGCTGGCCTCTCGGCAGCACACGCTTGCCCAGGAGGCTCCTGCGTGCAGATGTCTCACCTGCCCGTCTGAGGGAGGCCTGCCAGAGAGGCACCTGCCTTTGAATTAATTTATATCTCATTAGGACACGAAACTGCCTAAAGTGTTTATGTTTCAACAGTTTGAGCCCTTTTGAGCAATTTCAGTCTGGGGCTAAGGACTTTTTTCCCCCCTAATTTTCTCATGCAGCTATAATATCCTTTTGCATCCTGAATGGGACATTCAAATGGGTTGAGTTTTGCCACTGACCTGAGCCAGATTGCTTCTGAGTTTCTGTTTCTGTTTTTCAGTACATAGTTTGTCGTCAGCAGTATAGTAGGCCCAGGTGGAAGGGCCTATAAGCTGGGGTCTCAAGTTGTCACTTGCCAAATTATTTTGCAGTTTCAACATACCTCGTGCAAAGAGAGAGCTGGCCCAGCTGAACAAATGCACCTCACCGCAGCAGAAGTTGGTTTGTTTGCGAAAGGTGGTACAGCTAATTACGCAGTCTCCCAGCCAGAGAGGTTTGTGCTCAGCGGAGGGCCCAACAGGGGCGTGGATACATCCAGATGCAGGAGTCTGTTAAGGAGCAGTGTTCTCTCTCTCTTTTTAAAAAAAATTTTTTTAACGTTTATTCATTTTTTGAGAGAGAGACAGAGACAGACAGAGCATGAGCTGGGGAGGAGAGAGAGAGAGGGAGACACAGGATCCAAAGCAGGCTCCAGGCTCTGAGCTGTCAGCAGAGCCTGACGCGGGGCTTGAACCACAAACCGTGAGATCATGACCTGTGCCTAAATCAGATGCTTAACCGACTAAGCCACGCAGGCGCCCCGGGGCATTGTTATCCTAAAGGGTCATTCAGATGGGTTCCTACGCAGCAGAGCGTTCCTGAGCAAGCACCCTGGAGTCTGCTCTGATGCGTGGGTGCCTAGCAATGGGGGGAGGAGGTAGGTGAGGCATGATTCAGGTAAGGAAATGGTGGCAGAGAAGTAGCGGTCTCAAAAATGAGCCAGGCTTCCCCACAGCTGCACGGACATCATGTGGCCGATACATAAATCAGAATCCAAGCTGCGTAGGTCCTTTGAGAACCTGACTTTCCAAAGTGAATAACACTGTCCCCTCAAGTCTGAACTTGCCAACACAGCAGCATGTATGATTGATTTTAAACTTCCTGTCGTGTGTTCTCTTGAACCTGTCTTGGCACTAGGGTATGGGGGTATGGCCACATTAGGATATTTAGGGCCATTTGTTTGGTCCAGTGCCGCCCTCTGACCCCCTTCTGCAGCTGTGTTCCAGTCTGAAGATGTTTGGTTGATAACATTTTCTGGCTAAAATTAAACACCTTTAATCTTAAAGAAAAAGGAGCCAAGCTGGTGACGGGTACATGGGGGTGCAGCTGTTCATAAGACCGCTCTTCCTAATTTTTGTGTATGTTTAGAATTTTCCATTACAAAAAGGAAAGCAAAAGAAGCTAAAAAAAAAGCAAAAGGGAGTCATATCCATGTGCCCTTTTGCACTATCCGGGTTTTTAGAATGATTAGCGAATGGACTCCTTAAAATTTCAAAGTGGAAAAAATGGAGAACAAGCTACGCATGAGCATTAGGTCCTGCAGTACATAAAACGGAAATAATCTCAGGAGGGAAGAGGCTTACCGAGGTGGCTCTGGGCACACCTCTGTCCACCTTCCCTGACTTCAACCGTCCTGCAAGGTGGTGAGGGGGAACCTGCTGGGAATTCCTTTCTTTTGCACGTGTCCCGAGAGTGCTAGGCACTCCCCTCAAGGGAACGTCTGTTTCGGACAGTGTAAAGGAAACTGTACAGCCGAACCTCTCCCTCCCCAAGGCATAGTCTTACTGGATTGCGGTTCTGTGGGCTGGATGACGGTGGGGAGTCGATAGGCTTGTTGGTCTACTTGAGTCTCATGACGGCTTCAGACCTGTGTTTCCCTCCTGCAGTTAACTTGGAGACCATGTGTGCTGACGATCTGCTCTCCGTCCTGCTGTATTTGCTTGTGAAAACAGAGATCCCCAATTGGTAATATTTTCTGCTAAACTATTTTTTGAAAATGGCAAAATGATTTCAGTATAACTACAGGAGATTGAGCGCCCTCACGAGTCCATTGCTGGGCCTGCCCTGGATTTGTTCTGCACGGGGTGGCTATCATTCCTCTTACAGATGGGGAAACTGAGGTCCAGAGAGCTTATACTTCTTGTTCTGGAACATGCAGCTAGTCAGTGATGGAAAAGCTGGCTTCCATTCCAACTCCAAAGCCCATCCTCCTCCGATGGGAACCCCTGGTTCACTTTACAATAATCAGCTTTTTAAAAACTAGCATAACTCCAGGAAATGACCAGGTAGTGGTACTTATTTTCCTAATTGCACGTGCGCTCGGGGTTAAGGGGGTAGCAGTCATAGCTCCCCGGAGCTAGCGGACTTCAATCACTCACGCCGATAGCATTGTTTCTGGAGAGGTGTGGATGGGGTAAACAACAATCACACTTTCTTCTTCCTTTTGTTAGGATGGCAAATTTGAGTTATATCAAAAACTTCAGATTTAGCAGCTCAGCAAAAGATGAATTGGGATACTGCCTGACCTCCATTGAGGCTGCAATCGAATATATTCGGCAAGGAAGCCTCTCCGTTAAGCCGCCCGTAAGATCCCTCCTGCCCTGGCCTTTCTTTGTGGGTGTCAGGGCATGTTCGGTAGGGTTCTGAGGGTGGTGGGTGGGGAGGGGGATTCTTAAATGTCTCCCAAGAATGAGGCCTCCGCTGTCGAAGGGCTGTGAGGCTTGACAGTCCCCCCGCAGACTGAAACACTAAGCACCCAATTGGTTGTGAAAGTTGGCAGTTATGACCGGGATTCACATGGTTAACCTCCTGCTTCATTAATCCTCAACTCAAAAGAATAGGCAGGAGAGGGAGGCTAGAAACCATGAGTTTGGATACCTAGATATCTAGATAAGGCTATTAATAAATGCAATTTTAGGACTCACTGGTCTTATTATTTACTTGGCGAGCTTGGCTTAGGGGAAGTGATTAGGTTTCTATGCAAAGTGTGGGAATCTTAAACCAAGGTTGCGTTGCCGGCCTGTTTTCCCCAGCCAGCAAAATGTGACAGGACTCATAGAAATCACAAAGTTGAAATTAATAAAATGAAGAGATTGCTGTATTACAAACCAGGAGTCCTGAGGATTGAACACTCCCTTGGTCTTAATTTTCTGCCGATGTTAGAATCTCCCCAAGTAATGATAAGGTAAAACATCTGGAAAAAACTATAGGCCTGCCTGGATAGGTGCACTTGGGTAAAAACAGTTCCCCTGACTTCATTCATTGTTAACATGTGTATGTGTTTTCCTGTCTTTTTTCCTTCCCTGTATACGTCACATAATTTATATCATATATAGCGTTTTATGTTGTTTTTTCCCAAAACAATAGTCTTTTTTTTTCCTGATTGTTTCTTGCTTACAAATAATATTTGCAATATACAGTTGGCCCTTGAACAACACAGGGGTTAGAGCTGCTGACTCCTCACGTGGTTGAAAATCAGCGTATAACGCCTCAAAAACTTAACTACTGGTAGCGTACTATTGACCAGAAGCCTTACCAATAATATAAACAGTCAATTAAGACATATTTTGGGGGCACCTGGATGGCTCAGTCAGGGAAGCATCTGACTTTGGCTCAGATCATGATCTTACAGTTCATCAGTTTGAGCCCCGTGTCGGGCTCTGTGCTAACTGCTCAGAGCCTGGAGCCCGCTTCAGGTTCTGTCTCCCTCTCTCTCTGCCCCTGCCCTGCTTGCACTCTGTCTCTCTCTCAAAAAAAACCAAAAAAACAAAAAACAACCCCCCCAATAACCCCAAAAAACTAAATAAATAAAAACATTGCAAAAAAAAAAAAACTTTAAAAAGAGAGTTATTTTATATGTTGGAAGTATTGTATATCATATTACTATAATAAAGTAGGCTGGAGAAGAGAAAGCATTATTAAGAAAAACACAAGAATGAGAAAATACATTTATTTATTTTTTTTTTTTTTTTAAATTTTTTTTTAATGTTTTATTTATTTCTAGGAGAGAGAGAGAGAGACAGCGTGAGCAGGGGAGGGTCAGAGAGAGAGGAAGTCACAGACCGAAACAGGCTCCAGGCTCTGAGCTGGCAGTCAGCACAGAGCCCGACGCGGGGCTCGAACCCACGAACCGTGAGATCATGACCTAAGCGAAAGTCGGAGGCTCAGCCGACTAAGCCACCCAGGTGCCCCAGAAAATACATTTAGAGTACAGTGCTGTGTCCGTCGCCGTATAAGTGGAGCCGTGCAGTTCAAACCTGTGTTGTTCAAGGACCAGCCGTGTAAAGTTGCAGTGAAGACAAATACCTCTCATAAACTCACCAGCTAGAGACGCCTTACTGATGTTTTGGTATATACCTTTTTCCTGTGTCTATACAATTGTATTTTTTAACCAAAATTTGAGATTATACTCTTCTTCTTGGCACGGAGACTGAATCCCTGCCATCCCCCTGGTCACCTGGGGGGAGGTGCCTGCCTCCTGAGGGTGCTGCTGTCCCTTTGCTGTTCCCGTCCTGCACCACAGCTATCCTGCTTGCTTACTCTCTGTGGTGTGTAGGCAGGAAACCCAACACTTGAAGCCTTTGACCAGAATGTAAGGAGGTGGGTGACCACAGAGCAACAGTTGGCTTCCCACATCCACTTGGACTTCACACAATGTCCCAAGTGGGATTGGGATAGTTGTTTTTGTTTGATTGGTTGGTTTTTGTTTTTTGTTTTTTTGAATTTTTATTTATTTAAGATTTTATTTTTAAGTAATCTCTATCCCCAACATGGGGCTCGAACTCACAACACCGAGATCCAGAGTCTCATCCTCCACCACCTGAGCCAGTCAGGTGGCACTGGATTTGGGGGAGTTTTGAGAGGTGGCCCTTCTTGTGCTGATGTTGGCTTTAACCTGATACCTTGTGTTTGCCCTTGGGCAAGTCTGTCTAAGTTTATGTCCATTGCTTGTCTACACTGAAGATGATGCTGTATGTTTGACCTCTTGCTAGGGGTTTACAAGAAGCAAATAGGGTACTTGAACGTGCCTTTGTGAAGCACAAGGTGATCCTGGTGCCCTTCACTTGCTCTTCTGACACCCCTGCATCCAGGCATCTCTGTTTCCAGGTTCTCTGGTGCATCCTGTATGGATGGCCCCAAGGAAGGCCATTAACTTGGGTGGGCAAGGTAGGGACACAGTCCAGTGTGCCCCTCTTGTCTGTGGTGTCTGACCCTGGTCCTGCCTTTCTGGGTGGGGGGTGGTTGGTCCCATCAGATGTAGGGACAAGGTGTGCGTCATCCTTACAGCTGGCTGTGAAGCCAGTCCCTGGGGTCTTGAGTGGGTCAGGCCTGAGAGATGCCCCTTACTTTATTGACTGAGCAGGGAGTGTGGCTTCCTTGTCTTTCGTGATGCTGGCCCTGAGATTCTGCCAGTGCTGTTGCCTCTGGCCCCAGCTGCTGACTGGATTCTGGTCACCAGTGCAGTTCCATCTTGGAATGTGGGAGTCCACTGCTCTATGTCGGTGGCCTTTCCTGGGGAAGGAGCTCAAGTGTATCCCCGCACAGCAGGTGAGGCTTCTGAAAAGCATTAAGGACTAAGTATTAGTAACTCAAATTGTGTTTTACCATTGCCTCTTTATATAATACAAGGCTGCTTCACAGAAATTTTACCCCCGAAGGTGTCATTGTACTTGAGGTAACCTTATATATATTCTTGAAGCATAAAGACTTAAATAAAGACTAGCTTCTTGAAAATGAGCATTAATGGGATGACTCTAGTTTAACCTTTGTAGACCAAAAAACGGGGAGAACTCTGAAAGAATCGGTACCCTTCTCTGTTCCAGCTTTGTGGGCTTCTGGTCTTTTTCTCTTTATTGGCTTCCTAATAAATAGTATTTACCCCTTTCCCAAATAGATCTGAGCTGACATCTGGTCTCTTCTGGTAGCTCCTTTATCCTTGAAGATTCAAGCCCTCAGGACTTGCCCCTCTTCAGCGTTGCCATTCATATAGTTACCCAGAGTCCAGGGACCCCAGATTTACCTGAGCAACAACGTCTTTGACATTCCTCTGACTTTAAGCTGGTTGGCTGAATAAAATAAAAATAAATCACTGAATAAAACAGGTTGTTAGAGCCTTATGTAGCTGATGGCAGACAGGAGCAATATGGCTCTCACCCTGAGGGGTTGGTGTGTGTGTGTTGGGCTAACCCCCTCAGGAGCCAGTGTGAGGGACCCTGTCTGACAGAGGACCCCAGAAATGGGCCATTCCTAAAGGTGCCTTGGTCTCTGCCTTTAGCCAGATCTCTAACGTCAGAACTTAGAGGGCCATAAAGGGCCTTCTCCCATCGTTTTGTCAGGGTTTGGGGAGTTCTTCTGGCAGCAACCGGCTGGGGAAGAAACCACCCTTACTTCCCAGTGAAACTTCTGGGGAAGTTCATTTGTCATTAGTCAAGTTGCAGGTGATCCAGTGAGCATTGACATGACTTGTGAGGAATTATTTCATAAAGGAGGGATGCATTTTTAGATTTTTGTAGCTAGGTAGACATTACCTGCAATATGAAGACTTGAGTTTATTATTTAGGGTGGACTCTGGTATGTGCTAGGATTTGGGAACAGTGGCCATATTGTCTGCTAATTTCATAAGTGTGTGAGAAGAGCAAAAGACCCCCCCTCTCTCCTGCTGGTTGACACGGAGAAGTGCAGAACAGCCCGTCAAATGGTTTTCTCATCTGTATGCCCAGATAAAGTGGCAGGGGGTAGGACTGGGCAGGCGTTAGGAAAGCAGTCTGAGAGGAGGAGGAAGACAGGATGGTCCAGGCTTCCATCCGGAGGGTGATGGTGTGTGCAAGCTACATTCCACACACAGTGATGACACATTCCACACACGGGTGCGCAGAGACAGCGTGCCACCCCTCGCCCACGTCCCTGCTGGGAAGGGACCATCACGGCTGCTGCTTCCTATGGGGACAGACGGGAGGCGCTTCTCCCAGCCGGATGAGGCTCTGCTCTCTGGCTCATGGAGAGAGGCACTGCCGAGATCCTGTTCTGCGCGAAGTAGCAAGGACTACTCCGGGATTCTCTGTTTTGAAGGGTCTGCACTGACATCTTGTGACAAGCTGGTAAAACAGATTGTTGGGTTTTCTCTGCAGGAGTCTGAAGGATTTGGTGACAGGCTATTCCTGAAGCAGAGAATGAGCTTACTGTCTCAGATGACTTCAACTCCCATCGATTGTCTGTTTAAGGTAAGATTGTGGGCTCAGGTGTGTGAGGAGTGTTTCATCTTCCTGCATCTCTGGGGTCTCTTTTTGCATCTCTGGGGTCTCTGTGGAAGCCATCAGGGCGGTCCGCTTGGTGAAACACTGAAGTCCCGCAGTGCTCCGGGTGGGTGGGGGGAATTTTGAGCATTCACATCTGCCCCTCTCCCCTGGGGTGTGCTGTGCCGCAGCCAGGAGGGGCTGGCACACCAAGGGCACTGGGCCTCCCCTACAGCCCTCTGCCCGGGCTGTCCTCTCTCCACTCGGCAAAATATGACTTGTTCTTCAAGGTCTGCTCTGTGGCGCCTCACTGGTGGCCTCTGCAGAGCTGACACCTCTCCTGGGCCCCGGGGGCCCCAGGTCACCGATGCTTGTGGGAGTGTGGCGCCTGGTGGTGGTTTCATCGCTCATGCATTGAGCCCTGGGAGGCTGGCCAGGTGGGAGGCTGGGTAGTCAGCGAGGGCCGAGTGAAGGCACATCTCCGGGAGCCTGTGGGTGCTTCTGAAGACCCAGAACCCAATTGCGTGGGTGGAGCACCCCCTGAGCCTCCTTGGGGCAGAGGAGCTCCTGAGAGGAGCACGGGGGTGAGCCCCCTAGGCTTGTTTCTTGATGGGACCTCTTGCTAACTGCAGCCATTCCCTTCCCCCCAGGCCGAGGCTCTGTTAGCATCCAGGGGCACAGGACCGAGGGGTGTGCTAGCGAGGAGTCAGCACCCATGCTGAGGTTCAGGAGGTGTGGGCCTCCCCCACCATTGCTTTGGGAATTTTGCCACATCGGCATCATTTTAAGTTACAGAAGATTTGTAACATTTCCAAAAACAAATAGAGTATAAATGCACACCCACGTGGCTATCTTCGTTTTGTTTCGACTCCACCCCCAGCCAGTCGCCCTGTCCGCCAGGTTATTTTGAAACACGTCCCAAAGAGCAAGTCCTGTCTCCATATGGAGATCCCGGCTTCTGTAAGGATGTTCCAAACATTCATGCCTTAAAAAGCAAGTAATTCCTTATTTTTGATGTCACTTTTTAGCATATTGCTTCAGGTAACCAGAAAGAGGTAGAAAGACTTCTGAGCCAAGGTGACCAAGATAAAGATGCCGTCCAAAGGATGTGTCACCCTCTGTGCTTCTGCGATGACTGTGAGAAACTGGTCTCTGGGTAAGAAGGTCCCTGAGGAGGCCAGCAAACGGCAGGCATGGGCCTGGACAGGGCTTTTCCACTATTGGTTGTGCCATTTTGAATAAAGACCTTCCCTTCGCTACACTGTTTCCGCGGCTGTAAAGTGAAGACAAAAACACCCGTCTCTTTGGAGAATCGGATAGGATAAAGGTCGTAAAATACTCGGCACTCTGCTGGGCGGGATGCCAGAGCAGGCGGGCATGGAGCCTGCCCAGCCATAGAAAGTAGATTTTAGGGTGGGAGGGATGTCAGCTTCTCCCAGTAACCCTTTGGGTTTTACCTTACCTTCGTCAGGCTGTTTGCAAGCTGTTTTTGCTGGGTGTCAAGGCCTGGAGGGGTGGGTGTGGGGAGGGATGCTGGAACCGGCAGCATCACCCGCAGGAGGCCAAACAGGGCCTGGATGATCTCTGGGAAGCTGTTAAAGAGACCCAGCTTGGCTCACACCCTGAGATCCGTCCGCTAGCCCCAGGACCCTGGCATGTCCAGCATGGTAGGGAGAGGCTTTGCCCTTCTGTTTCAAGGATGTATTTTTCTGTATCTTCTTCCTCTTTTAGGAGGCTGAATGATCCCTCCATTGTCACTCCATTTTCCAGAGACGACAGGGGTCATACACCCCTCCATGTGGCTGCCCTCTGTGGTATGTGGTCTTGGGTTGGCCTTTGGTTGGGTGAGCTTTTAAGGCAGAGGGATGGGGAGGAGGGGAGAGGGGTCCAGCAGAGGCCTGACTGACAGGGCAGAGGAATTGGGGGTGGAAGGGGCAGTGCCATGTACCCCTTTCACCACCTTATGTTGCTGAGGGGTGGCCCTGTGCTGAACCCCCGCCAGACACCCTACAGTGTCCTGAATCTGTAGAGTCTGACTCGATATTAGCTCGGGTTTCTCTCAAGCAGGAAGACTCTTCCGGTATGTCTCCTGCCAGAGAACAAGAGGGTAAAATACTGGGGCTTCACATATAGGGTTTGGAGAGCCTCTGCTCCTTCCTTCTCTGTGGTGCAATCCTTCTGTTCTGCAGGGCAGGCATCCCTCATTGACCTCCTGGTTTCCAAAGGCGCGGTGGTGAACGCCACGGACTACCACGGGTCGGCCCCGCTTCATCTCGCGTGCCAGAAGGGCTACCAGAGCGTGACGGTGAGCCGGTATCGCACCCTGGGTCGGCTGCAGGCTCAGGGTGCGGCCGCGTGTACGAGCTGAAGGGGCTGTAGGCCCACGGGACGGAACCCTGCGGTGTGGGTCTGACACAATGCGATGGCTTCGGGGCAGAGGGTTTGGGCGCCAGGCCTTAACCGTGAATGCCTCAGCGCCTCGAAGGGAAGGCTGAGGGTGATGGATACTTTTAATCGCGGCGTAGGGAGACGCGGTTGCAGGTTGAAATGGGCCACCTCGCCCACGGCACCCCAGGCCACGCCTCCCACAGGCCCTGTGCGCCTGCGCGCTGGGCGGCCGGGCTCACCGCGCTCTCTCTTTTGGAAGCTGCTGCTGTTGCACTACAAGGCCAGCGCCGACGTGCAAGACAACAACGGCAACACGCCGCTCCACCTGGCCTGCACCTACGGCCACGAGGACGTAAGTGGCGCTTCCCGCTCCCGGAGGAGCTGTTCTCCCCCTCCGGCCCCTGGAGACAGGTGCCCTTCCAATCGGTTTGACAGGCGGCGTCCCTTTATGTCAATCGTTACTGGAACGTAACGTTCCACACAGTTCCAGCGTGTGGTTTCTTTTTAATTAAAAACATCTTAAATTTATTACAGATGCTCTGTTGGAATAACAGAAATCTAAATTTTAATTGCCCGTTACCTTATCCTGAAATTCAGTCATCGTCACTCACCCCTGCTGCCATCTGGTTCCTACCTCTGTTCCTATTCAGTTTTTACGTTTTGGGGTTTGGAGTGATAGCAAAAATTGTATCGTTTCGGTTTCCACTTGACATTTAACTGTGTGTGTGTTGTTTTGCCTACCCACTCTCTCTCCGTCACCACTCTTCTCTGTGTGGTGACGCAGGGGTAGGTTTAAACAGGTTAGGCCGGGCTAGGTGGTTGATGTGCAGAAATGAGATCATACCCTACACATTTTTATGCAGCTTTCTTTTTTTTTTTTTTTTAAGTTTTTAAAACTATTTTGAGAGAGAGCAGGGGAGGGGGGAAAAAAGAGGGAGAGAGAGAATCCCAAGCAGGTTCTGCACTGACAGTGTGTAGCCTGATGCGGTACTTGAACTCACTTGAGATCATGACCTGAGCTGAAATCAGGAGTCAGACACTTAACTGACAGATGACAGAGCCACCCAGGGGTCCCTATTGTACTTACTTTTTAAACAAAAAATTTTTAATGTTTATTTATTTTGAGAGAGTGTGAAGTGCGCAAACAGGGGAGGGGCAGAGAGACAGGGAGACACAGAATCCGAAGCAGGCTCCAGGCCCTGAGCTGTCGGCACAGAGCCTGATGCAGGGCTCGAACTCATGAGCCATGAGATCATGACCTGAGCTGAAGTCAGACGCATAGCTGACTGAGCCACCCAGGTGCCTCATGCAACTTACTTTCTTAACAGTGCATCATGGAAGTGCTCTAGGTTAGTAAACATAGATCCAGCCCATTCTTTAATCAGTACCCAGTGCTCTGTTACGTTGTATGGTGTCTGTGTCCCTGCCACCACCCTTTGGTTCAGTACTTAGCTAGGACGACTGATAGGACTCAGCATGTAGTCGTATTGCTGTGATTGACTGTAGCAAAAGGACACAAAGCCTAATCACCACAGGGAAAAGGTGAATGGATGAGGTCTGGAGGACACCAGGTGCAAGCTTCAAAGCGTCCTGTCCCCAGGGAGACACACAGGCCATAACTGGTTCATCCAGCAGTGAGTTACAACAGCAAGTATGAAGTGCTGTCTACCAGGAAAGCCCATTAGGGACTCCGGGCCCAAGGTTTCTATTGGAAGCCGGTCAGGTAAATACCACCTGCCTGGCACATACCTGAATTCCAGGCTCCTGGAAGGAACGCAGGTGTTCAGCATAAACCACGTTGTTGCCTGATTTAGGCACAGTGAGCTGGGAACCCTCCCCTGATCCAAGCTCCCCAGGAACATTGCACGTCAAGCATTGCACCTCGCAAGCATTGAAGGGATAGCAGTCCCACGCTCGCTGTGGTCACTCCTCTCTGCACGTGGACACATCACAATTTATTCAGCCTTTTCTTCCCGATTGGCAGTTGGGTTCTTTAGAAGAGACGGTGTGTCCTGATGAGGTCACCTGGAACCCTTGAAGTCTGTCTCTGTTCCCGCACCCTGGCTCGGTGCGCGGAGCCCTGGGTATAGCAGCACGTGCACTGAGGCTGTGGAGTCCACAGACGTTGCCCGAGGCTCGGCGTGTGACCTTACGGCGGCATTTCCCGCTCTCTCTGCAGTGTGTGAAGGCTCTGGTCTACTATGACGTGCAGTCGTGCAGACTGGATACTGGTAACGAGAAAGGGGACACCCCGCTCCACATAGCTGCACGTTGGGGCTACCAAGGCATCATAGAGACACTGTTGCAGAACGGAGCGCCCACAGAGGTCCAGAACAGACTGAAAGAGACGCCCCTCAAGTGTGCGCTAAACTCAAAGGTAGCTTTTTTCATTTCTGAGCATCAAAAGGACTTTAAGAAAAATCAGTGTCCAAAGGTTAGGTCTTGGCCACACTGGACAAACTGTACATTAGCGCCTGAGAGCAGAACTTGGCCTACACCCTCTCTGCCGCATTTGGGACCCGGTGGTTAATGGGTTTTACTTATTCATATTATTTCCAGCCTCATGAGCATATTTTCTCCATATTGTTTCAAGAGTTGCTCGCCACAGAGTTTGCCCCGGCCTCTGAGTGCTGTGGGTGTGTGAGCAGATGGAGGCCGGGGGAATAGGACAGTGGCTCTGGCCGAGAGGAGCAGGGACAGGGCCCGGGGTGTGGAGGTGGTGAGCGTCGCAGCTCTGTCTTCCTGTTACTTCATCCTCAACTCCTGAAAGCCGTATTCTCTTTTGGCCAGTTTTGAACATCGCTGGGTACAGTTTCTTTCATAAGTGACTCGCGGATGAACGGATCCTTTTCTGTTAGTAATTCCTGGGAGCATGTAGTGTCATGAAAGTGCTCAGCTCATGGGCGGGTGGGGAACGAGGGGTGGACAGAGGTGGGTCCTCTGTGCCTGGCCTCTCTCAGCTGCTCTGCCTGAAGGGACACCTTCAGAGACACGCGGTCGGCCTGCTGGCCGGGGCAGCGCAGGGCTGAGGCCGTCATGCTGTGTCCAGAGCATCATGGATTTGCGGCCACATCAGCGACTCTGTGTTAATACGGGTCTCCAGCCAATTCTCTTTGCCCAGGCTCTGCTTTCTCCCTCTTGACGTTTCACTGGCTTCTTTTACAATTGCCGGCTCTCTTCCAGGGTGTTCTCTCAGCGTTCAGGTCTTTTCCTAGGGGAGCAGTTTTTGTTTTGCAGTCACTTTATTGAGGTACAACTTACATAGAAGAAGCTGAACTTCTTTAAAGTGTACGACTCAATGGTGTTCACAGCTGTGGAGAGCGGCTCTGCAACCCATGCCGTGGACGTTCTTGTCACCTCCAGATGGCTCCTCCCACTCTCTTTATTTGTCATTACTGTTGTCATCATCTTGTGTGTCATAAAAACACAACGTAAGATCAGAAGCAGTTTTGAAGGTTTAAATCCACCCCCGCCTCCTCACCCCAGGGGGCCTTGGGGGGTCTCGGGCTCTGTGGTGATGCCACCCTTGGCCTGATGTGTCTTTGGGCAGCAGAGGGCTCTCCCGCTGCTGGACTCCCTTCCAGAAGGAGGTGTGCAGGGAGAGGGGCAGACTGCCTTCTTGGCTCAGCTGTGATCTGCTCCTGCCAGAGACCTGGGGATGCCAGTGGGAGGGTCTCGCTTTGTGTCTGTGGGCAAACCGCCCGGGGGCCCCCTCTGTGCCTGGGCTTCTCCTGTCCTCTGAGCCCATTCACGGGAAGGCCCAGCTGGTGGACAGCAGGAGTGGAGGGGTGGCAGCAGGAAGCCCACGCTTAGTCAGTGTGATCCTGGGCCAGCTCCTCCCGTTTAGGCCGTGGCTTCTCTGTCCCTCCAAGAGTGCGATCGGGCTGTGTGACCTTCCGAGGGGATGGGCAGGCAGCAGGGCACAGGGTGACGGTGCTCTGGCGACCTTCCCCATTCCTAATACTGTCCACGACCCCTTCTCCTCCTAGATTCTGTCAATAATGGAAGCCCGTCATCCGTCCTTGGAGAGGAGGAGGAAGTCTTCCGAGGTGAGTGGGCAGGGCTGGGGTTGGTGGCCCTCTCCGAGCCCAGGGCCTGCTCTCTGGCCCTCACGAGGACCTTCTCCTGTCGGGCCCCCTGGCTGCAGGTCCCTGTGCAGCCCGCTCAGCGCCCTGTGGATTCCATCAGCCAGGCCTCCTCCACCTCCAGCTTCTCCTCCGCGTTGGCACGCTCCAGACGGGAGGAGCCCAAGAAGGACTACAGGGAGGTGAGGCTCCCAGACGGGAGGGCCGACGGGATGGCAGCCCTGTGTCACGGCGGCTAAAAGAACCACGGCATGATGAGGGCTGCCCAGTAGGCCAACACTGGCACTCCTGGGCCGTGGCCTGGAGGGGAGCCCAGCCAGTTGGAGAAGCCAGCTCTCGCCCTGCTTCTTGCATGGTCGGTTCCTGAAACAGCTTCATCTTGGGGATAGTGTGTGTGTATGTGGCAGTGGGAGAGAAGAAGGAGTCTTTTCTGAGAAAGGTGCAAGTAAAGTCCCCTGTCGGTGCACAGATTTAAGATCATCCTATAGACTCAATTCTCTGCCCTTACGACTCGCTCCATAAGCATCCTTGTCAACCTGATGAGTCGTTCCTGACTGCTTGCAAACACGTGTTCTATAAAAGGTGGCTCACCACCTGTTTTTTTCCCTCTATTTAACCTACCTGAGAGCTTGTCCAGTGTCAGCCCACAGAGCAGACCCTTCCACGCATATGCCATGACTCCTTCCCCTCTTCCCCTGTGGACAGGGAACCTCACTGTGTCCACCCAGGGTGTCTGTCCCTGGCCACCCCCAGACGCCGTGATCTGCTCTCAGAAGGCCCGAGAAGCTTAGCTTGAGGCGATAGCACAGCAGCACAAGCCAAGAGACATGTTCCAGAATCTAACAGAGACCTGAAATCGTTCCTGTGAGGGGAGTGCCCCCCATGTTCCCTCAGCTTTCGGATGATGGGGGCTGAATACATGTGGTTCTAGAGGGTGGCTGGGCTCTTAGGAGGCCCATCATGTCAGCTGGCCACATCACTGGCAGAGAGTCCTTTCAGAGCACGGGTGGTAGAGGGCTTGGTGTACACTAGCGCCCTCCCGGACATCCTACGTGGGGGTCTCAGCGGTGCTTGAGCTCGAACAAGCTGGGAAAACTCCACAGACCAATAGAGCAACGAGAGCTACTAGGTTTTCAGACATTGTTGTTCCTTCTTTTATCGCTCTATTATTGAAATCATTTTCTAACATTCTTTTTCTTTTAATTAAGGTAGACAAACTTTTAAGAGCGGTTGCTGATGGAGACCTAGAAATGGTGAGTTTTTAGAAGCGCATCTGAAAACGCTTGCTCTCGGTTGAAAAGAGCTGTACGTGCGTTTCTTGTCTCTGGTTCCTCCGGGAGCCGCGTTCTGTTCCCTTTCACACAGAAGGGCTGCGCTGAATGACTGTGTGGTAACAGAGGCGTTAGCAGTTTCCCTTTACGTAACGAGCAGGTGGACGTAAAGTCACATAGTGAACATTTTAGACATTCACGTTCCCGGAGGCTGGTGAGGTGTTGTTCAGACCCCCCGTGTGCAGGAGCTCAGACTGTGAGCTCGGAGCCTGGCCTGCTAGCTGGGAGCACAGTGTGCGAGCAGGGCTAGCGGAGAGGAGGGGCAGTGGACAGGGCCGGAGCCCAGAGGTGCCAGTGTGACCCCGTGGAAGTTGTGGGTGGACGTGGCGTCTGGGCAGGAGGCTGAGGTCTGAGGCTTGGGGCTCCAAGGAGTCACAGGCAGATGTCCCAAGGAAGTGGCGCTGGCTGCTGTGGGCTGGCATGGGGAGGGGATGGCCCTGCTGGGAGAAGGTGTCTGTCCTGAGCCTCACTGTCGGGTGACGGAACATCTGATGACATCACTGGAGAGTGGAGACAGATAGCTTTCCTTAGATTCCCACGGCTGGTGTCCCCTAGCTTGCCTGAGAGGAACTTGTGATGTCTTCCATTTTAAAAGGAGGAGTAAATTGGGTGCTTAGCAAATTAAGAGCCCTGAGTAGATCATACTATGAGGGAGTTTTGCAGTGGTGTGTTTCAGGAGTGCCTTTCGCTGATGATCCGAGTTTGAGGTGGTGCACAGAGGTTACTGGGATCTGATTATAACCAGCTCAGGATGGTAAGAATCTGAATGTAGTTACTGGTGTATTAGCTTCTATCCAGAGGCCACTGCAAATCCACCATACACGGTTCCTCTGGGGGCGGGACGTGGTACCTGTGTCTGCGTCTGTCCTGTGAGACCAGCCCCAGGAGAACCCAGTGTTTTTTGGAGGAAGCAAAGTAGGACTTCTTCAGGCATCCTGGGAGCCATGGCATGAGCCAGGGACACTCCGTGCGGGGAAGAGATTATGGCTGTCCCCGTGTCATGCCACGCCTGCTCCTCTTCCTTTTGTGGGTGGGTGACGGGGCTGAGGCCATTCGCGAGGGAGGTGACCAGAGGCCGACTGCCCAGTGCCCTGGGGTCAGCACCCAGACTCATCTACACGTGTGACAGCTTCTGACCCCCTGCCCGAGGCACCTGCCCCTCCGCTCCCCCCATTCTTGTCGGCTGCCCTCATCTGTCCCAGCTGGCCTGTTAGGTGAGGCCCCAGAGTCGACACCTTTGGCGTTTCCACTCTGTGGAGTGTCTGCTGTCAGGATGTGGAAGGGACCTGGAGGAAAGATGTTTGGGGTGGAAGGGGGTCTTCTCAGAACCCCTTGACACCCCATGCACGTCCTTCAGAGTGCTCAGCACCAGGCCTAGCAGTGTGCTTATGTTGTTTCCATTTTTCTTTTTTTTCCTATAATTTCTTTTTTTTTATTTTTCAAGACTTTATTTAAATTCCACTTAGTTAACAGTGTAATATCAGTTGCAGGTGTAGAATTTGGTGATTCATCACGTACATACAACACCTAGTGGTCATTACAACAACTTTCTTTTTTTTTTTCCAGATTGCAAATTTGTTTTATTTGTTTTATTTTTTTGAATATTTTTAATAGTTTATTGTCAAGTTGGTTTCCATATGACACCCAGTGCTCATCCCCACAAGTGCCCTCCTCCATGCCCATCTCCCCCCTTCCCTTCCCCCCACACCCATCAGTCCTCAGTTTGTTCTCAGCATTCAAGAGTCTCTCATGGTTTGCCCCCCTCCCTCTCCTCCACTATGTCCCCCCTTCTTCTCCCCCACGATCCTCCATTAAGTTCCTCCTAATCCTCCTATACGTGCAAACATATGGTATCTGTCCTTCTCTGCCTGACTTATTTTGCTCAGCATAACACCCTCAAGATCCATCCATGTTGCTACACGTGGCCAGATTTCATTCTTTCTCATTGCCATGTAGTATTCCATCGTATAGATAAATCACATCTTCTTGAGCCATTCGTCCATTGATGGATACTGAGGCTCTTTCCATGTTTTGGCTATTGTTGAGAGTGCGGCTATGAACATTGGGATACATGTGCTCCTATGCATCAGCACTCCTGTATCCCTTGGGTAAATTCCTAGCAGGGCTATTGCTGGGTCCTAGGGGAGTTCTATTGTTAGGTTCCTGAGGAACCTCCACACTGTTTTCCAGAGGGGCTGCACCAGTTTACATTCCCACCAGCAGTGTAGGAGGGTGCCTGTTTCTCCACATCCTCGCCAGCATCTAGAGTTCTCTGATTTGCTCATTTTAGCCACTCTGACAGGCATGTTTCCACTTTTCAAATTTAATATCCTCTAGATACCAGTTTTCACTGGAACATAAATTTGACCTCTTAGTGGTCTGCAATGTTTTCACCTGTGGGCTAGTGCATTGTCATGGAAGGGACGCTGGTGTGGAGTAGAGAGCCTCCCCTGTGGGCTAGCGCGTGGTTCTGGAAGGGACGCTGGTGTGGGATCAGGGCGCCTGTGTCTAGGTTCTGATCACCACTTCCTAGTTGGCCTTGGACAAGTTGTTCCCGCTCTGAGTTTTCTCCCAGGTTAGAAGGGATGGCTGGGTGTTGAAAGTGTGCAGTTAGGTGATAGGAGGCAAGGTGCTCACTAAATGCTCCAGGACCGGGTGTCCACTCCGGCAGCACCACTCTGCCCTTTTTAAGATAAAAGAACGTCTAACACAAGCAGTGGAAACGGTAGCAAAAGTTCTCTGATTTGCTGGCAAAAGGACTGAGAAAGGTTTGGGTGCAGATACCCGGTCATGTGTCGGTCACGGTGGTGGGTGAGGAAGTGTAGGCCCTGATTTGGGAGCAGCTGTGTGCGTGTGTGTGTATGTGGGACAGAGGGAGGGAGGGGGAGACCCTGTAGCCTAGAAAGGAGCTAAGGATGCATTTTAAGTTCCTGTTCTCCTTCCTGCCCCACACCAGGTGCGTTACCTTTTGGAGTGGACAGAGGAGGACCTGGATGAGGTGGAGGACATCGTCAGTGCGGAAGATGTTGACTTTTGTCACCCCTTGTGCCAGTGCCCGAAGTGTGCTCCGGCTCAAAAGGTTTGGCTTTGCTTCTCTTGGTGGCAGTGAGGGTGGGGAGCCAGCTAGCTGCCGAGCGGTTGGTGGTTGGTGCGGATGAGGCGGTGACTAGTTACTTAGTTCAGGGAAGAGAGAAGCTACACTAATGTGGGTGTGGCTTGGGCAGCCTGCCTTCTGAACGAGCAGGGCAGTGAGGGACATGCACATGTACCCAAGTGTTTCAGCTGCTCTCTTGGCCCCTGAGTCACAAGGCAAGAGTTTATGAACAGATGCACCCTAGGACGTCTGTCCACATGGCTGCCAGTGCCCTGAGGAAGCTGCATTCGAGATCCATTGCCTGTTGTCTTTGGTCAAGTTGGTGCACCCTGAGAGGAGACTGTCCCGCCAAGTACAGAGGATGCCCTGTGCCCTTCACCCAGTCACCCCCAGTGCTAACAGCTCACAGAGCTGTAGAGCAGTATCCCAACCGGGATAGTGACATAGAAACCATCCACACATCTTACCCACGTTTCTCTGGTTTTACTCATGCTCACGTGTGCATGCGTGTTCACTTTATCACATGCCTAGCTTTGTGCATCCACACTGAAGGTACTAACTAGCTCCCTCCCCACAGGAAGAGCCACCCGTGCTGCTTCCCTGCCGCCCCGTAACTCCTGGGCTAAGTTTTGTATAAGGTGTGAGCTTTAGGTTGGGGTTCATTTTTTTGTCTATGGATGTCCACCTGTTCCACACCACTTGTTGAAAAGAACATCCTTCCTCCGATGACTTTCTGCTCTACCTCAGATAATATATGGTGTGGGTCTCGTGGACTCAGTGTTCTGTTCCACGGGTCTGTGTGTCTGTCCTTCTACCGGTTCCACATTGTCTTGATTACCGGAGCCTTAGTATTGGGTAGCGAGATTCTTCCTAACTTACTCTTTTTTGCCAGGATTGTTTTAGGTATTCTATAGCCTGTACCTTTCCATATATATTTTAGAATAGTTTGTTTATGACTACCAAAAATCATGTTAGGATTTTGGGAGGAAATGCATCAAAACTGTAGATCAGTTTGGGGAGAAACGACATCTTTACTGTGTTGCGATTTCATGAACATGGTATATCTCTGCAAATATTTAGGCCGCCTTTGATTTCTTCATCATTTTGTGATTTTTAACATAGAGAGCCTGTCCATGTTTTCTTAAGAGTACACTCAAGTATTTCATTTTCTTTTGAGCAATTGTAGATGGTTTTGTGCATTTAGTATGTGCTTTTGTGCTAGTTATTTAACTCAGTTGTGTATGTCCCATACTGAGAAAATTAATTTGACTCTATAAAACAGGTATAGTGGTGTTATCTGTTGTATTACAAGATAATGCTGCCTTATTTAAAAAAGCTTCATTCTGGGTTATTTAAAAAAAATTTTTTTTAATGTTTATTTTCGAGAGAGAGAAAGAGAGACAGAGTGTGAGTGGGGAGGGACAGAGAGAGAGGGAGACACAGAATCTGAAACAGCTCCAGTTTTTGAGCTATTAGCACAGAGCCCAATGTGGGGCTCAAACTTAAAAACTGTGAAATCACTACCTGAGCCAAAGTTGGACGCTCAACCAACTGAGCCCCGTAGGCGCTTCTTAACTATGGGTTATTTTAATCCAATAATATTGAAAAGATTAAACTTTCATTCACATGTAGCTTTTCATCTAGCTATATAGGGTCATATGCACATTGGGAATGTGCAACTTTTGTCCTGTCCCCGTGCAGTTGGATACAGCCCAGAGAATGATTTCCCCTCTGCAGCCTGCTATGAAAATGAAAAAGATGGTGTTTCAGAGATTATGATGTGAGGTGACAGTACTTCAGGCCTGGTCAGTGACGGTGTGTGGCTAGAGGCAGTTACTGCGTCTGTCCCTGTCCTTGTCATTTCTCTATACTCTCTTCTTCTCTACCTCATGATTCATTAGTTGTAACGAGAAACTGAATTACACATTAAAATAATTATTGGCATCATTGACTAAAATCTTATGTTCTCTGCTTTTTGAAAACATCTTTTTCCCATTTTGAAATGTCTCGAAAAGACACAGAAGACATAAAATATGGAAGTTACTTCGTGTCTGTGATTTAGTTAACCAGCCCTGGACCTCACCCTTTTCTAGGCCACTGGTGTGTTTAGGGTGCTTGTTTAAAAAACTTTATTGAGGAGCACCTGGGTGGCTTAGTTGATTAAGCATCTGACTTCGGCTCAGGTCATGATCTCATGGGTTGTGAGTTTGAGTCCTGCATCGGCTATCTATTGTCAGCACAGAGCCTGCTTCAGATCCTCTGTCCCCATCTCTCTCTCTCTGCCCCTTCCCTCCCCCCAAAACTAAATAATCGTTTAAAAAAAAACCCAAAACCCCTTATTGAAGTACAGTTTGCATACTCTAAAGTGTACCCATGTACAGTATACAATCACATGCGTTTCTGCAGATGTATAAACCATGAAGCCATCACTGTTGTCAAGATAAAGAACATTACAGTCACTTCTGAGGGTTTTCTTGGGCTGCTTTGAAACTCTTGCTTTCCCCTTTCCTCCTCTGTCCCCGGAACCACTGGTCTGCTGGCCATCATCACAGGCTCATTGGCATTTTCTAGAATTTTCTGTGACTGGACCAGACAGTACACACTCTTTTGAGTCTGGCTTCCTTCACTCAGCAGAATGTTTTGAGATCCACATTGGATCAGCGGTTCATTTCATTTTGTTGCTGGGTAGTGTTTTGTTGAATATAATTTATCTAATCACCTCTTAATGAACATTTGAGTTGTTCCCTGCTCTGGGCTTTGCGAAGAAAGCGAGTGTGAACATTTGTGAACAGGTCTTTGTATAAATATGTGTTTACTCGAGTAAATACCTCAGGTTATAATTGCTAGATTATGTAGTAAGTGTGTGTGTAACTTCATAAGAAACTGCCAGCTTTCCAGAGTGATTGTAGCATTTTCCATTCCTGCTACTGATGTGTGAAAGTTCTGGTTGTTTCACATCCTTGTGACCATTTAACTGTAGCTGTTATTGTAGTTGTGCAGTGGTATTTAATTGCGATTTTTCTCCCTATTTCTTCATTTGTTTGTTTTTTAGGTTTGAGGTACCATTTACATGTAGCAAAATTCACCTTTTTAACTTCGCATACCATTTTTCTGAGAGAGAACCTTCTTAATCATCAAAAAGTGAACTAGACAACCAGTTTTAATAAAACAGTCACATAAAACACTGACATAGTAATTTTATTATCAAAATGTTGATATCTTAATTTAATGTTTGTTTTTAGTTATATGGTTTATAAATGTTTTGTTTGTCCTTTTTTTTTAAATGTTTATTTTGAGAGAGAGAGCAAGAGCAGGGGGAGGGTCAGAGAGAGAGGGAGACACAGAATCTGAAGCAGGCTCCAGGCTCGGAGCTGTCAGCACAGAGCCCGATGCGGGGCTTGAACCCACAAACCATGAGATCATGACCTGAGCCGAAGTTGGACAGTCAACCGAATAAGCCACCCAGGCACACCTTGTTTGTCCCTCTGATTATTGATTGAGGGGCTCTTGGGTGGCTGAGTCGGTTAAGCATCCAACTCTTGTTGGTTAAGCATCCAACTCTTGATTTCGGCTCAGGTCATGGTCTCGTAGGTTCATGGGATGGAGCCCATGTCAGTCTCTGCACTGACAGCATGGAGCCCGCTTGGAATTCTCACTCTTCTTCTTTTCTCTGCCCCTGCCCTGCTTGTGCTTGAGTGAGCATGCATTCTCTCTCTTTCTCTCTCTCTCAAAAAAAATTACTAGTGGATTGTTCTTATATTGGCACGATTGATTTTAAAACCACTGCGAAGTATAAGGTAGTTTCATGATCAAAATGACGAACTGTGGAGCTAAGCCGCAGACAGTTCTGTGAGACTTGACAAACACGTGGTCATGTAACCCCTGGCACAGTGCACAGTACCTCCATGGTATAAATCTAGACTTTTCCCCCCAAATCTTTTGCCTATTTTTTTTTTTAAACGTTGGATTGTCCAACTGAGTTGTGAGAATCTGTTGTTTTAAAATTCCGGTGGGTGTATGTCCTTCATCAGATCTACCTGATGCAAACATTTCCCCCCACCTGGGACGTGCCTTTTCATTTTCTTAGTTGTGCCTTTCACAGAAGGACCATCTAAAACCAGTGCATCAAACTCTCCCTTTATGGTGTTTGCTTTCTGCATCTTACCTAGGAAGTCGTTGCTTATCCCAGTGTTGCAAGGATTTTCTTGTATCCACTTCAGGAAAGCGAAGTGCCACATCGTTGTGGCCCTTGCATTTAGGTCTACGAGGCATGTGTCATTCTTGCGTGTGGTGGGGTAAGGGTTGGCATGCACTTTCTCCGTGTGTGTGGAGAGCCAATTGTTTTGGTGCCATTTGTTGAACAGACTTCCTGTTTCCCATTCGATCGCCTTGGCATAAATAGGGTGTCACTTCAGGGGGTTGGTATCTCGAAGATTGAAGTTACTCCTTTGGGATAGTTGTAGGAAGTTCCCTGTGGGCAGCCTGATTCTGGATGCCCCCGTGATCCCAGATTTTACACAGGGACTGTGTGTGTGGGGGGTACATGGCTTCGGGTCCTTCAGGCCAGTTCCTCATATACCAGTGACACCTCGGCCTCCATCCTCTGCTTTTTCTAGAAGCTGGCAAAGATCCCCGCCAGTGGGCTCAGTGTGAATGTGACCAACCAGGACGGCGTCTCCCCACTGCACGTTGCTGCCCTGCACGGTCGGGCGGACCTCGTCCCCCTCCTGTTGAAGCAGGGTGCCCGCACCGGTGCCAGAAACGTAACCCAGGCCGTCCCGCTCCACCTGGCCTGCCAGAAGGGCCACTTCCAGGTGCGGGTTCTGTCTCCGGGGCGGAGGGTGCCTGGTGGGAATGCTGCTGGGGGCAGGTTTGGGGGCCAGCCCGGAGGACAGACCCGATTCCTTCCTCCCACCCCTGGGGTCCCGAGAGGCACATGGCAAGATGGCTCAGCAACAGAACACGGGGCACCGGTGCTCTTGGGGGTGGAGGTGGGGTCCCGCGTGGGGTCCCCTCCCGCCTCCCCCCTTCCCACTGGCATTCACATCCCAGTGGCAGGAGGCCTGTGTTCTGATTTCCACCCCAACAGGGGCCGGCTCTGGGGTGTGAGTGTGGGACATTGAGGACTCTGCCTGCGACTTCACGCCTCTTACCCACAGCCTGTGGTCTGTGGCAACAGCCTAGTACTTCATAGACAATGGCGCTGTGGAGGCCGTGCAAGAGACGGTTGTGAAATGCTTGGCTTTTTCACAGTCCTCTATTTCTTTTTGAGATTTATCTATTTAAAAAAAATTTTTTCCCTATTAGCTCTACTCTAAGATTTTAATTTTTTTATAAAAAGTTTATTTATTTTGATAGAGAAAGTATATAAGTGGGGATGGGACAGAGAGAGAGGGAGAGAGAATCCCAAGCAGGCTCCACACTTCAGCACAGAGCCTGTTGTGGGGCTCAATGTCACCAACTGTGAGATCATGACCTGAGCCGAAACCAGGAGTGGGGTGCTTACCTGACTGAGCCACCCCAGCGCCCCAGCTCTAGTGTACTCTTTTAAAAGACAGGAAGCAGGGGCTGGCTCATTTAGGGTTGTGAGTTCTAGCTTCATACTGGCTATAGAGCTTACTTAAAAAATAATAAAAAATAAATAGGGGTGCCTGGTTGGCTCCATGGTGGAGCTTCTGACTCTGGATCTCGGGGCTGTGAGTTCAAGCTCATGTTGGGTATGGAGCCTACTTAAAAAAAAAAGGTACAAGGCTACCTGGATGCTTTGGTCGCCTATGCATCCGACTTTAACTTGGTTCCTGATCTCATGGTCCGTGACTTTGAACCCCGTGTTGGACTCTGTGCTGACAGCTCAGGGCCTGGAGCCTGCTTCAGATTCTGTGTCTCCCTCTTTCTCTGCCCCTCCCCCACTCATGCTCTGTGTGTCTCTCTCTTTCAAATAAATAAATATTTAAAAAATTAAAAAAGAGTATAAAAATAAAAGACAGGAACCACATCAGGCCTTCCATCTCTCTTGTAACACCTAGCAGAGCACTTCAAACATCACTTTCCTAGTCTGTATGACTAGGGGTAATAATTCTGGCCCTCCGTAGGGTTGGCCGAACGGTGAAATGAAAACACAGCGCCTAGCACATTGCCTGGCAGAGGAGACCCCATTTCAGTTGGTCTGTTTTCTCCCAAGTCAGACACGAGTCTGAGGAGCCTTCTAAATAAACTTAGAGAAAAGTCCAGAGAGTATCAAGTTACAGGATTTCTCTCTACAGATTGTTACGGCTGAAAATTTGTCTTCTCTGGGCTAGGTGGTGAAGTATCTCCTGGATTCTAACGCAAAACCCAATAAAAAGGACATAAGTGGAAACACACCCCTCATTTACGCCTGTTCCAATGGCCACCACGAAGTCGCTGCGCTGCTGTTACAGGTGAGCTGCCAATCCCGGCCGGTGACAGGCTTCACGTCGCCTGGAGTCTGGGTCACTGTTGTCCGGCCTTCTGTGTGACCACGCTGTGTCTTTTTGCAGCACGGGGCCTCCATTAACGCCTGCAACAACAAGGGCAACACGGCGCTGCACGAGGCTGTGATAGAAAAGCGCGTCTTCGTGGTGGAGCTGCTTCTCCTCCACGGGGCGTCAGTGCAGGTCGTGAACAAGAGGCAGTGCACAGCTATAGACTGCGCTGAGCAGGTGAGCAGGGGGCTCATGAGCCCAGGGCGTCCCAGCCTCCCTCGCCGCTCACTCTGGGTCCCCTGTGGTTGCACCACACCTGAAATAGCACTAGCTGCCCTTGGGATCGCCGTGCCGGGCCAAGTGGCCATGCCGGAAGTCGGCCAGTGTGGTCAGATCTCTGGTCCTTGGTGCCCTGGTCAGAGGTGGCCTACTGGGGGAGCTGGGAGTCAGTCCTCCGGGGCTCGCTTTCCAAGGGCAGAGTAGAGGTGCTCCCCCAGCAGCTGTGGGTGTCGGTGCCCCGCTGTCTGGCCCTGGGACGAGCCATCAGGGACTCACTGGGAAGTTCGGGGCTCCCCCTGCCTGCAGTGGTCTTCGCAGCACAACAGGGAATGTTTGGTCAGTAGGTGGTTCCAAGAATCCGTGAGTTGTGTCAGGGGAATTGTGGGGACCGATTCACCCCTCCTCCTGGTGCTTTGGGTGTGTGCGTAGGGCCATGGCGAGGAAAAGGCTTCCTCTCCTAAGAGAAGCAAGCTGTCTATTCCTGCTCTCATGTCGAATCTTTTCATCTTTGACCCTGGGTAGACAGCTAGTAAGTAGGCTGTTAATGACACTGGTGTCACGTAAAAGTCACCATAAACCCAGTGTATTCATGGGCTTATCATAATTTTCAGTAACACTTCTTAAGAGAATTGAAATATTTTATTTATTTTTTATTTTACTTATTTTTATTTTAGAGCAAGAGTGAGCAAGCAGGGGAGGAAGGCAAAGGGAAAGAGAGAATCCCCAGTAGGTTCCATGCTCAGTGTGGAGCCTGATATGGGGCTCAGTCCCACAACCCTGGGATCATGACCTGAGCCAAAATCAAGATTTGGTCAGTCAGCTAACTGAGCCACCCAGGCGCCCCTGGAATTGAAATATTTTAAACCTTCACTTAGCACTTTCTCAAATGATGATCAGGATGAGCGTCTTTTATCTAGTACTCACTGGGGGCTGGGCCGCGGACGGCCTCACGTAACTGCGCGGTAACAGAGCCTATTCTCATTAACACGGCGCGCAGAGCAGAGAGCTGCCCAGCCCGAGCACCTGGTAGAGGAGGGGCCCGCCTGAGTCCAGGGCTGCCCTGAGCCATAAGGCTTTGGGCTTCACGGTCTGACCTGTAGTTGCTCCTTAGCCTCTCTGCCTCGCTGCGCCAGTATGGACTATTCCTATAACCTTTTCCCTTTCAAATTGTAGAATTCAAAAATAATGGAATTACTTCAGGTAGTACCAAGCTGTGTGGCCACGTCGGGTGATGCAGGCGAAACGGACCACAAGGATTACGTTACTGTGAAGATCCGGAAAAAATGTAAGAACTTACACCCTCTCTGAAATTCTCAGCATGGGTGTCTTTGGAGATTCATGAGTATTTGCTGGTGTCGGTTGAATTAAAAAAAAATTTTTTTAATGTTTTATTTCTGAGAGAGAGAGAGAGAGAGAGAGGCAGCGTGAGCAGGGGAGGGTCAGAGAGAGAGGGAGACACAGAATCTGAAACAGGCTCCAGGCTCTAAGCTAGCTGTCAGCACAGAGCCCGACGCGGTGCTCGAACCACAAACCATGAGATCATGACTTGAGCCGAAGTCAGGCGCTTAACTGACTGAGCCAACCAGGCCCCCCCGTCGGTTGAATTTTCAGCATAGCATGTTCCTGTACTGGTGACCAGGGCGGGATGTGGGCACCGAAGAGACATACGTTACAGCCTACCTCGTCAGCTTGTTTTGCTGCTGGGTTTCTGGCCGATTGGGATGCTGCTTCCTATGGAAGTGAAGTGGCCTCTCGCGGCCTCACCTAAGAGGCTTAGGCCTCCCCTCCACCAGCTGGAGATGAGGAGCAGCCGCTGGGAGATTCTTTCCTGCCGCACGTCCCCGGTCCAGGCCTTTTTAAAAGCATTCCCTGAACGTCTGGGCTAAGTGCTTCCTACTAACTTTAAAGGTTTATGTTGTTTTTAATTTGCACGTATAAGGAATTTGTTGGTAATTAGAACAGTAGTTGCCAAACATGGGTGGGGCTGAAGTTTTGTTTTTTTTTTCAGTTGTCAGAGTCTAGGTAGGTCCCATGTTCTACTCTTTATGTTTTTAAAGATTTTATTATTATTTCTTTACTGTTTATTTTTGTGTGTGAGAGAGAGAGTGTGAGTGGGGGAGGGGCAGAGGGAAAGGAACACAGAATCCGAAGCAGGCTCCAGGCTCCGAGCTGTCCGAACAGAGCCTGATGTGGGGCTTGAACCCACAAACTGTGAGATCATGACCTGAGCCGAAGTCAGATGCTCAACTGACTGAGCCGCTGAGGTGCCTCAGATTTTTTTATTTTTTTAAAGTAATTTCTACACCCAACACGGGGCTCAAAGTCACAGCCCTGAGATCAAGAGTCACACGCTGTACCAACTGAGCCAGCTAGGTACCACTCTATTCTTTCTTTAAAATTACAGTATAGTTTGAGGTGTAATAATGTGAATAAACCCATTTCCACCTCTGGATAATCCTGAGCCTGTCTCACAAAGTGTCCTGTGTATTAATAAGGATGCATCTTCTTTTCCATCGGGGCTCACATGGTAATAAATGGCTACTAATATGTCTCTTTGAGCAAATGCAGTTTGTAATTTTCTCAATTCTGTCAACCTAAGAAAACGGAAACGTTGCATCTGTGCTACAACTTTAAACAATTCTTAAACTACCTCAGAAGTTCTCAAATGTGTATCCTTTTTTGTCTACAGGGAACTCAAAAATGTATGATCTACCAGATGAACCTTTTACAAGGCAGTTTTACTTTGTCCACTCGGGCGGGCAGTTAAAGTGAGTATAAAATTTGAGTCGATTTCTGTGCTTTTGACCTTTTACTTAAAACTAACCAGGTATGTGCTCCTTGGACAGGTCACAGAGAAATCTGCACTCATCAAATGCTGCCACCTCGTGGCCAACCGGAGTGTTTGACACCACTGTCCCAAACCTTGATTTCACTTTGTTTTGGGTTTCAGGGGAACGGCTTCACAGGAGATTATGGCAAGAGATAGAAGTGTCCCTGATTTTACTAAAGACTGTGTGCATGAGGTGAGTTATTAAACACTAACTTATCTTCATATTTCTTTTTTCTTTTAATTTATTTTAGCGCAAGCAGGGGAGGAGCAGAGAGGGAGAGGAGCAGAGAGAGGGGGAGAGAGAATCTAAAGCAGGCTCCACGCCATCAGTGCAGAGTCCGACGCTGGGCTCGATCCCACACACTGTGAGATCACGACCTGAGCCAAGACCAAGAGTCGGACACTTAACCGACTGAGCCACCCAGGAGCCCCTCATCGTATTTCTTAAAGCCTGGCTTTTCTAAAACTTCATCCATGGTGAACACACTTCTCATTTCATGATTTCCTTCTTTTCAACAGTTAGTAACGAGGGGTGCCTGGGTGGCTCGGTTGGGCATCTGACTTCAGCTCAGGTCGTGATCTCATGGTTTGTGGATTCGAGCCCCGCATCGGGCTCTGTGCTCACAGCTCAGAGCCTGGAGCCTGCTTCGGATTCTGTGTCTCCCTCTCTCCCTGACCCTCCTCTGCTCATGCTGTCTCTCTCTCTCTCTCAAAAATAAATAAAATATTAAAAACAAAAACAAAAACAAAAAAACAGTAACGAGTTAGATGGGTTCGTTAATGGGACAGCCAAGGCACAGGCTTCGTTTCCTGAGAGAGGAGAGGGGACAGTGGCAACGGGAGTAGGCGTGGAGAGCCCCTGCAGCTTAAGGTGTGCGCATTCAGTGAGATAGCTCAGGTCACACCGTCCACGGTATCTCGGTGGGTTGGTATCTCGGTGGGTTTGTATCTCGGTGGTTAAAGAAAGCCTCCGGATATGGTTGAGAGCTGCTCTTGTAGACAGTTCTGCAAGTGGCCATCTTCCTGCAGCCTTACGTGCTGTGGTGCAGTGGGGACTCTTCCCCGAAACCCGCCTTTCCTTCTTGCTCCTGGCAATGGCAGTATGACTGTTGATGAGGACAGTGTGCGGCTCGTGCGGTGGCCCAGGCTCGTTGAAGCACATCTGCACAAGCTCTAAATCTGTGTTTTAGAGAATTAAAGGGATTTTTGCTAACGTGACTCATTTCGGTTTCCTACATAATCTTTCATGACTTTGCCAACAGACCTGCTGCTGCCTGGGATACCCTCAGACTGAGCTCTGCTTGGGTTCACGCAAGTGCCAGTGCCTCCCTTGGGAGAGATGGGGGTTTAGGACGTCACTTCCATTTGCTGAGCCTGTGTCCGCAGCTGTGAATGGGGTGGCAGTTAGGGTGGGCTTGTTAGAAGGATTAAATGTGAAATCAGGTAAAGCACCGACGTTGTGTCTGACACGTGGAGTGCACGTTCATACTATCTCTGCAGGGATGTCAGAGCTGGAATTATGCCCGGAAAGTCACGAGCACATTGGGTGACCCATAGAAGCACGCAGGGGCACTGTTCTTTTTTTTTTTTTAATTTTTTTTAAAAAAATTTATTTCTGAGAGAGTGAGTGAGAGAGCGTGAGCAGGGGAGGGTCAGATAGAGTGGGAGACACAGAATCTGAAACAAGCTCCAGGCTCTAAGCCAGCTGTCAGCGCAGAGCCCGATGCGGGACTCGAACCCAAGAAGCATGAGATCATGACCTGAGTCGAAGTCGGACACTTAACCGACTGAGCCACTCAGGCGCGCAGAGGCACCGTTCTTGTGTGGTTTTTGTTTCAAGTGCGGTGCGAGCGAACTGCTTGAATCGTACTGTTTGTTCAGCCAGGGAGGCCGGGAGCCACAGGGGAGCAGAACAAGCCGCCAGACCCGTGCCCGCCTGAGACCGCTGGTGGAGGAGGCCGCAGTCAGCCCGAGCGGCCCGGACTGCAGCAGAGCGTTCCCGCGAGCAGGCGGATGCTGGGCAGACACACCGTCGAGGACACGGTCGCGGCCGGGAGCCCCGGGACTGCCGGAGACCCAGCTGCTCCCCACGAGGCCGGTGTTACTCCCCAGTCTGCACAGCGCGAAGCGGTTGTTACGTTGACTACCAGGAGGTGAGTCCTCAACAAGGAGGTGCCGCACGGGGACACGGCTGAGAACTGACATGTACTTTGCGTTTGGTTTGAGAGAGAAGCAGAAAGTTCCTGAACCCTTTTCTGTGGCCGAGGGAAAGGATGCAGCAAGGAAAACCATCACCCTCTCTCCCCTCTTCGAAGCTCACGAAGGCCCTGGAAAAGGAGTAGACACAGTTTTCAGTGGTATCCTGATCCCCGAGACTGGGTGTGGGCTGCTTTTGAGGCGGCAGGCTCCCTGGCCGCAGCGAGGGCCCTTCTCACCGGGTTCTGACCTCCTACCGCAAGGTGCTCACCCCTGCCGTGCGTACACACTGGCACCGCTAGGCCGAAGAACCCGGACCCTGGGACAGGCGACCGCGGAGCAGCGTGGGGGCTGGGCAGACGGGACACACTGGCCTGGAGGAAAGAGGCCCCGAAAACGTTCCTTTGCAAAGCAGCTCAAGCCCAAAGATGCCCCGGGGCCGGTGTGACGTTTGTGTTACTGAAAAGGACATTTATGACCTATTCTACACTATGTATGTGGGAAAGGTTGGGTATAATTTTTCTTCCAACAAAGTACAGATATATTTGATCACCGCACATACGCAGCCGTACCAGTGTCTCTCAAAGCCTCCCTTTCCGATAAAAACCTCCCTTGGACGTCACACCTGATGGATGGTTACTGAGCTAGAGAGATTTGGCACATCTTTTCTTAGTCTTTTGATTCAGATTCAAAACTTACAGCACAAACCAGGTCAGTTACTTTTAGTTAGAAGTTATTGCCATTTATTCCTTTTTATAAATTTCTATATATACTCTTATTTTTTTATGTTACTAATTGGCCTACAGCCGCAAACATGGGTTTGTCCTGCGTACATTTTCCAATAACTTTGTAATAGGGACATGGTTTTGTGCATGTTCTTGGAAATACTTGTGTATGTATAGAAGGGAGGGACTGATTATTTTTCTACAAAGTAATTTATGATTTCTAATTTTCTAATGTGCCTTGGATATGTGCCAAACGATGGGAAAAGAAACAGTAAACTCTATGATTCTTGAGCGCCTCATGGTACACTTCTTTAGTTGCTCTTTTGCTCTGGAGAGATGCGTGTTTCTCCTCCTCTCCACTATAAACACGTGCTGTGTCTGGAAAGATCTTCCCCCACGGGATGGATACACATTTCTCACTGAAACATGTAAACCGGATCATTCGGAGCAGCCCCTCACCCATTTGCCTCCCTAGGACTGACTGAATCTAGCAGGTGCAAATGCGCAGGGCCCACAAAAATGTGTTGGTTTTTTAATCAGAACAAAAATGAATACAAGACAGCCTTTTAGCCCAAACAGGAAAGAAGCACTACTGCTTTGTGAATTTCTTTAGTTTTTCCTCCTTTTCCACAGTTTTGAACGAAACGACCTCACTGACTTCAGTCGCAGTCCGCTGCCCTAATTAAGAACTTCTGTCCTGTGTAGTTTGTACTTCTGTCCTGTGTAGTTTGTCAGCCAAGCTGCAAATGCGTACATTTGATATCCCCTCATTTTTTGGGTGGTATGATAGAATTTGCACACTTTCCTATTTAATTATAACAGTTGCTCTGACTGGTAGAATTGTCAAATGAGGGAACAGGTTCAGAGAAAAGAAGGGTGCTGAGATGCTGGCACTGTCCCATCTGGGGTCATGGCCTGCTTGGCGGTGTCCTCTGCATTGGCCGTTTCCAGTGAGGTGTGCTCTTCTGGAGATACACTGGAGACGGTCAGTTTTAGGGGAGAAGCTTCCTCCTGAGCCACTCTGTAATCAGCAGGGTGAGCGATCTGAAGGGACTACCTCAGTTAGTTTTTAAAGCCCTTGTTTTTCTCCAGTTGCTTTCCCACTTAAAGCTGGACTTGAACGACTGGGAAATTGGCAACGCCCAAATTTGTTCTGTGTCAGAATGTTTTGGATTCAAAGTTATTGTCAATTAAATTAGAAAGCTTAGAACAACCGCCCCCCCACTTCCTCTTGCCTTGCAGAACTTTCAACCTTGTGTACAGGGCTTTGCATCCTCAAGTGTCCTTGGAGGACAGGACAGAGCCGTCGTGACAGTGGTTTTTCTGCAGGAGGAAGCATCTAACAAAACCTGCAGAGAATCACCTAGTCTCCCTCTAGCATTTTTATATTAAGTAAGACCTAAAGCAAAGTTTACCTATAACTGGGATGGTTCGTTTTTTTTAAAATCCCTGAGCAAGACTTTTATGTTTGACTCCCTAATCCTGTTCCTTTTAAAAAAATTTTTGATGTTAAAACTTCTCATTCTTTAGGAGTGCTAGACGCTCCAACACGGACTTCCTTCATTGGCCACAGTTCCAAATTCCAAGTCTCAGTATGAGTAACCTCTCAAATATAGTTTAGATATAGGTCAGCAGTATGCTGGCTAGAGAGGCTGGGATTCTAAACCACTTTTCCGGTTACTTTCCTGCCACCAATCCTATTCCCTTCCTTAAATGTTACGACCTACTCCTGGGCTTGGTCCCACAGGGCTAAGGCCTCTAAAAGCTTACACCAAACAGCTCACTTGAGAGGTAAATTTATGAGCAAAGGTTTCAAAGCCTATGGGAGGAAAGCACGATAGAAGAGATGACATTTGTTACCTGCAGTTTTATCGGTGAAGAACTCAAACAATTCTACCAAAATGTTTAACTGCTAAAGTTAGAAGGCACTTACTTTCAAACATGTTTGTTATCGTTCAAGTATTACTATTAGTATCTCCTAGTTATTTTGGTAATTTTCTGCAATGCGAGTACCACTGTTTTGGATAGAGATAATATTTATTAAGATAATATAGTCTCAGTGCCTTTGAGAAGCAGATTACAAATGAAACCAAAGCAAGGAATTTCCTTACATTGAACATACATATAAGCTTCAGGAAGAAAAATAGTTTACCTGGTTTCAGAACCTATGTCTTGGAAATATTCGATGTTAAATATTAAAAGTTGATTCCTCTTAATCCATGGGTTTTAACTACCATGTTACTGGATGCTGTTAGCTTCTTACTGAAGAGTAAGCCAGCATGTATTTCTGCAAAGGCCATTTTCCTAACACTAATGGCACAGTTACAGGGAATATATTTATGCTGCTACATGCTTAAAAACTTTTGGTACGAAAGAAAAAATTAGAAGTGCAGATCTTCTGTTCATTCAACTATGGTACAAAAAAAACTTTGCCCATATTGTTTTATTTTGCATAACAAGTTTATTTTTTTAAAAGGCATATAGACAATAAACAAAGTAAACAATCAGATCTTTACTTCCACCAAGTGTTATCTGTCCTAGAACTGTTCCATCAAGCTCCAGTCTCTAAACATCTTAAACTCAATAATCGTCCTCTTCATCAGAGTCCATGACTTTTCTTCTGTTGAACTGGGGGGGAAAGTAAAGGAGTGTCATAACATGTTTAATGAAGCAGAACTCAGACTTTCTGAGAAGAACAAGGTCTACTACTGTAAGACATTAGGTCTTTGAAACGACTTAGGGTTTTATGTCTATGGGGGGAGGGGAACAACAGAAGGGCCTTAATAATGAGACCCCTCAACAAGTGCAGCCTTTCCCCCCAAACTTTCACCTGTTACGAACTGAAAATGTTCATGGGCTAAAACATGTTTTGATACAGTAGATGGATATTTAACGCTTATCATTTAAAATCTTTTTCTTTTGCCCTGTACGTTTGGGGAAACTTACTTTAACTGTGGTTTTCTTTTCTGTTTGTTGGCTTACTTTTTCAAGGATTTCTATTAAACCTTGTTCTGATACCTAGGGTAACCGGAAAGAAAAATAGTACTTTTTTAAACAGAGTTTACCTCAGCAGATTGAATGGTTTTAATCTTTCTGGGGCATGGGGGCAGAGGTCAAGAGGGAAGGCAGGAGGCTCTAACTATTGGTTTAAGCTCCAGTCAGTTTTGCTGTGCTAGCCTCATCTGAGGAGAGGGGAAGGTTTCCATCGATTAGCTTTCTCGGGAAAATCTAAAGTTACCAGCACTTAACACCTTTATCGCCACCAGCAGACAGTGACAACCACCTACATGCTGTGTTGGAGACACAGCCTCTGCCCTCGAGGAGCTTAAATGAAAGAGGAAAGTCACTCAAAAAGATGAACAGTAGTTGTCTCTTCCACACACGCTCTTAGTGTAAGGGGTTCAAGGGCGGGGCTGATCCCCGCAGGCTAGGGTGGCAGCGGCTGGCTTCCAGTGCAGGTGCGGCTCTTCTTGAAGGCAGGCTCTTGAAGGAAGGTTGGGCTCATCAGGGCATCACAGCAACGCACATCATAACCAGGAATTTCAGCAGCTCCTCCTTTGCAAAACACCCTTAACTTCCACGTACATTGGTAAGATTTTATTTGGTATCATTGACAAACCTGTTTCCAGTGTAGAAGCAATTAGATTCTGACCCTAATAGTCACTGGGTCACACACACATCAAGGTTCCACAGCAGCGTCAGTAAAAGAAAGCAGCAGAGGATTTTAGGAAAGGCAGTTAGTTATTTTTTAGGATTTATGGTAGACACAAGTATTCCCTCCTTTATAAACTGCTTCACTGAAATAGTCAACAAGAACTTCTGTAACGAGAAAATGAGACTGACCTCTTGAAGAGATGCTTTGATAAAGTCAGTAACAGTAGGTAAAATGGTCTCAAGGCCATGTCCAAGCTTACCTTCCCACTCAGTTGCCCGTATCTTGCCATCTGTATGAGGTAATTCTCTACTGCTTTAGTTTTTTCGGGCTTTACAAGTGCTAAGTTACTTACTAAAAAGAAAAAGAAGGAGTCAAAACAAAATGCACACTTAGAGAACCTAAAAACTGTGCACCAACATTTCCAAAGCACGTCACAGACTTGTGTTTTGAGACTAGCAAAGTAGGCAGGGGGGCAGATTGTACAATAGCCCATCTTAAAAATGAAGAAACTCAAGTTCAGCCATGTCAATCTCCATCAAAGCCACACAGAGGTAGTGGGAGAGCCAAGAGCAGACCTGGGTCCTCAGATTCTAAGCCTGAGGTCTTTTTTTTTTTTTTACTTCCATTTAAATGGAAAGCAATTTCTAGATTACTACACATATATAATTGTGGTGATCCGTCTAAGACTGCCTCTTCTAAGCTAGGCTTCAAGTGACAATACAAAAGATACTAGTTCACTGAGATTGGCTTATTAGTTTTTTCTATACTGTTTTGGAATTTACTATGGAAAATTATGAACATACACTACAACAGAGACAATAAACCTCCCAAATCCCCATCACCCACATGAACTACCAGCAACATTCTGTGACTGACTCAATTTAAGAGTGGTTTCCTATAAATTTTACCTAATACACACTTGAAGATCATCTCCTTGGAAAGAGAGAACTGAGCTGGTATTTTTAGTAACGGTTTTATTACATTTCTTTAGGTTTATAAACTTTACATTTCTTACAACATTATCTGCATGTTTTTAGGTTAAACAAGTATTTAATCCAGAGATAGCAATGATGTCATAGATCTTTCTCCCTATTCAACCAGCTCAGGTCCATTTTATGGAAATAACTTAGAGAAAACTGAAGATGCTTACGGCGGGCCCGGGCTGCCTGATCCAGGACTTGGGCTAAGATACTGTTTCTCATTTCTGCTTCCCTACAACACAAACAGGACGGCACAATTAGAACCATGCTGTCAGCGTTCCTACTGAACACACCACTCCATGTTTCCCAAGACGGAAGCCTGCCGCGCCCCCAGACAGTGCTACGCGGCCAGCAGTACCCATACTCAAGCAGGCATCCAGGACCGCCCTTCAAAAGTTAGCTTTATTTTATGTGGGCATAAGCCTACCGGGCTGAAAGGTAAAACTTTACATTTTCGTAATTCAGGGTGGAGTTTGAGTTCAACCACCATTACCAACACACATGTAGTGCCCAGTGTGTGAGAGGTTCCAGAAACTGGTAGTTGAGATTCCAGGCAATTAAAGGACCAAATGATAAATCTGTAATTTTTCTTAAGAGATGTTATGGGGACACAGGTAATCCTGGCCAACCTGGAACCAGACCCCATGTTTCAAGACTCCCAGTTCCGCT